CACAACCTTCACCTTTCTGACATTCAACGCCTTCTGTGCTTTGATTTTAAAAACGGATATTGTTGTCATACATGCATGTTAGATAATTATTAAATGCTTCTTTGACTGATAAAGTATATCAATTCGTTATGGTACGTTTTGTTTGGATGAAACCGAAATGCTTCCTTGTTTATCAATTGTTAATACTGAATTTAATTAATTTAGCAAATGCTTTTTATTTTATTTTTATTTTTTTCAGAGCTATCAGCAATACCAACAGTTCAAGATTGCTTACCCAAATAACAAATAGGAACAATGTTATTTGATTTGCTCATGCATGTTCACTTTAGATACAACAGGCAGAGACACATTACTACTTTGAACGATTTAATTAACTGTTTGCTAGATACATTTAATATCACCATTAACGTTCCAAATAATGCAGTTTTGCTTTGATGTAAAAATGCGTAACCTCATTTATACTGTTAACTTTTACAATACCAGAGAAACACATCAATTGTTTTATCCTGGACAAACCAGATAAAAAAAACAACTTCTCTTTATCTAAGTGGTTATTTATTGTTTTCCCAATTTAGCGAAAAAATCAGAGAAAATTGAAAGAAAGACGTTTTTATAATAAACTGTTTATTTCATATTTCAAGACACTACAATTATTATGTTAAAATACAAACAGTCTGTAGTTGTCACACTTTTCATTACTCTGGGAGGGATCTCCATTTCTGCGCAAGTAAAAAACACTGTATATTTTACATTTATTTCTTCCATTGAATCATGAAAATGTTATAATAGTACTAGTTCAGACTGCGCATCGTTTTGATGTGTAACTTAACTATGTTTATAGTAAATGAGCCTTAAAACCAACATAATGGGTTTGCGACCAGCATGGATCCAGACCAGCCTGCGCATCCGCGCAGTCTGATCAGGATCCATGCTGTTCGCTTAGAAACCCTATGACAACTAGATAACTGACAGCGAACAGCATGGATCCTGATCAGACTGCGCGGATGCGCAGGCTGGTCTGGATCCATGCTGGTCGCAACCCATTATGCTGGTTTTGTCATGACGCGGCTCAAATTATTTTGATAAGCCAACTGTGATACTTCTGTGTCTAAATAAAACACTCTTCTATTGCTTTTTATTTTGTTTGCACCGTTTTTATTTGTTACTCCTTATTTTCCACTGTGTTATACATTTACGATAATAACGCCATAAAGTCGGAAGAAACACGTTCATAATAAATTCAGAAATATCAGAGTGAAAGGGATTTTATTTTGTGTACTTATATTTTACGTATCCCTACTTATTAGGAGAGAATTGATATATATCAACTCTCTCCTAATAAGAAGTATAAATTATATATATATAATGAATACGGCTAAATGGTGACCTTATTAGGCAGTAGAGGCCAATAATTGTACTACTATAGTAATTTTGAAATAAAAAAATGAATGCCCTACATGATGAAAGACAATTTTATCAATTCAAATTTCAATTTTGGCTTTTAAAGGGATATAAAAAGTTAACATAAGCAATTACATAATGATGCAATCAGAGGCATATTTTCCAGTCCATGTTTTACAATTCCTTAAAACACCACCCTGCATATATTTAGTAAGGTATTGTATTTGTTTTGACTTTTTGGATCAGTGATTTTAATTAAATGAATTCCACTTAAGCCGGTACAATGGGACATTCCTCTCATAAAACAATGATTTATTAAAACCGAGTCTGCAATTTTCGACTATCTATCTGGTTTAGATTACGCTTGAGAGATCTCCCCTTGTACAAAAGATCTAAACTCTGCGTACTTCATGTGCCTTTGCCCCAATACCTGACAATCATAATCGATCTTGAGTCCAATTGCCATTCAATTTGAAATATACAAGGGCCGACTCAGAGATAAAACGGTCTGTACTGATAAGATTTTTAGGCTTTTGGTATACTTGATTTGCTTAAAAAGACTACATTTTCTGTTACAAACTGCTGACAAAACAAGACACAAGGCTGAATATAGTCTAATTTAGATAAATATTCAGAAGACATTTGTTTCAATAAAGAAGAACAAAATACAGGGACAATGAACTATTTCTACCCAATTTCTATTAAGGCCAAATTGCTTATTAGTTAAATACCTGTTCATCAATGAATATCATTAGTTGAATATCATTATCATTATAAAATTTCCAAAAGCACTTGTTTTAAAGAATTCCGAGAATAAAAGTTACATTGCTAAAATGGAATATTCAACTTGCATGTTTAAAAGTCTTTATGATAAAGTTTTTATTATTCCAATAACATTTTTTCTTTGGTCTGGTTTTAAATCACACAATTTCTACAATGCAACTCTTCAGCTTTATTGGTAAAGGAAGACGTCAAGTGGACTCGTTATATGAAATCGTATTGCAAGTTTGTGTTGTGTACGTTTTGTGCAACACCACAATGACTTTCTACGCAGTGTATTTGATGCTGGTAGCATGGGTAAAACAAATACTACATTCTCTCTGAGTGTATTAGCTTTTGTTTTTGTGATACACTGTTGAAATAAAAATATTCTCTGTAAAAAAAACTTTATTGATAAGTAAAGATTTTTCCTAATAATGACGTTCCAAAAGAGTATTCAATACACACAAAAAATCACAAAAATCCATTAGTAAGTAAAACTAATGGAAATTCCGAGATGAAATTGAATATGACAATTAGTTTAGTGGTCTTTCTAGCTAACTGCGTTCGAAGTATAAAAGCTGCGGCTCTAGGAAATAAGAGATGATGCAACTTTCAGACTTAATCAAAATAATGAGCCTGCAATGATTTGCATATTGAAATGTTGTTATTGGTCTACAGGTAAATTCTGCTTAAGATGTTTTGGAGTTTTATTTGGTGTTATGTGCAAAAGAATGTCAGATATGCTACAAGGAGAATTCAAGGTATATGACTGTGTCTCTGATGAAGCTGTGGAAAAAGTTCACTGAAGATGGTGCCAGTATGTTACATCACGAATGAATCATGTTCTTTTATTCGACATTTAAAATAAACTTTCTGACGTATTATCGACCGAAGTTGTAGATGTATCACATGTTTTAGATGAGAGCGGAAAAGGGGGAACATACGTCGGTTTATTTACTAGACAATCTCATATGTAGTTTTTAAAGTATTTACTTTATAAACAGACCTTATCAAGCATGCTAGTATATTTTTTGAAGACAAAATTTGAAAGATAGTATCAAAATGAAATCTTTTTGCTGTTATGTAGGATTAAATATTTATGTTTTATCATAGGGAATACTCAATTTCATAGATGGGTTAAAACAGTAAAATGCATTTTCTCACTGAGTGAAACATCTGTGTAGTTATATTAAGTATAGAGAATTAGTTTCCTTCCGTGAACAATGCAAACAGGCGAATAATTTTCCTCAAGACATTCATCGGGGAGGGAATGGGGTTGGGGAGGCTATTGTAAGAGAATTAAAAAAGGATATTAAACGGGTATTATAAATTCTTCAATCTTTTACAGACAATAAATAGAGGATAATTTAGCCTCTAAGATTTGTCGTTTATCTCGTTCAGCAGATAACATTTAAATGAACCGCAATATGTAATAAATGGAAAAATCATTCAACTTACAAACAGGAAATAAAACCGACTATATATGCTGCAGTCGACTATGGTGAGCCCTTTTTAATAATGGCAATTAAAAAGGTAAAGGTCTTGTTTATTATATTGTCATCCCTACTGAAAGGGTAGCCATTTCTGACTTATGAGACACCTTTTGCTTGCATACCATATACCTTCAAACTCCCACTACTATCCCAGGCGCCAGGCGGATAGAAATCGGTAACCATTCATGTTAACTACCTCGCGGCTCACGAAGCGGCCACCACGAGAAACATTCATTCTTTAATAAAAGCTCCCTGCGGGGCTCGAACTTTCGTCCTCCCGATCCGAAGGCGGACACCTTAACCACTAGGTCAAAAGTCTTCCGATTTGTTCAGAGCTTGTTTGTGCAATACACAAAATGTTTATGATAAAGGAGAAATACCCAAATTGTGCTGTGCTGTTGGATTGTATTATTCAAGCGGACTGCGTTAAATTTTAATTCACGATAACCTAGTCAGCGGTCTGTTGGGAAAAATTTGCACAAACAAAATCCAGCTATATAACCTAATATAATGGGCTAGCATAGGATGCCATATTCTCTTAATTCTATAAGCTAGACAATATGAATAATGGTTTGGTTTAGATGAGTAAACGGTTCCAATGAACCTTTGTTTATGATATTTCTTTATCACCTACTAAGACTGATACAATTTATCTAAGACAATGCTTTATCTGAATTCTTTGCTGAGCATTTAGTTACTGAATAGAATAAAACACTCTTCTTTCATATTTTAATATGGTAATAATGCCAAGGTACGAATGTTTTGAGGTACTGCAAATTTATTTGAGAAAACAAAAAAATTATCTTTCACACATTTTATCTCGTTCTAATCTAAAATTACAAGTGACAACAAATTGTGAAAAAAAGTTACCTACCTTTTTCCGATGCTGAAGTTTTAAAAGAATTTTAATAAATATAATATACATCGGTGTTGGGCTTAAATAGCTGCCCTAAAGTGCAAGTTATTTATCCTCATATAACAAAATACTTCGTATTTTCCATGTAATTTAAAAACTTGAAATAGACAAATTTGCTGAGGATTCGCCCTTTGTTAAACATGTATATTTAAAAAAAGTATTTTGAATGACATACATGTGTTTAGACTTTGACCTTAATTCCTGGAAACCAAAAACGTGCGTTTTGTACATAATCTTATTATGATTAAAATTTCTATTTTCTTTCATCTGTTCAACTTTACAAAGCGCACACGACATTGATATCTGAAGGACGGACGATCAGTGGCATACTTTATATTACACGTTTGAAATTCCTTTTGGTATATATAAACAGGGAGAAAACAAAAGAAGGTAAATTTAATAAATGGAAAAAGAAATAAAAGGAAAACTTCGTAAAGATTGGTTTATTAACAAACTATGAATAGTACAATTATATGTAGTTAAACAATATCACCCGCAGCCTTTATCTTCTTAAACATATAGTCTAGCTATAATTATAGATTGGTCAGATAAAAAGAAACAAAAGAAATGCCAACAACATCATATGTGTTTGGTCAATGAATCAGAGTCCCTACATCAGTCAACTTGAAAATTGTTCTCAAAAGTATTTTGTGCAAATATATGCGATCTATATAACATTGCCTATGATTTGTTTTTATTATTATTTTGGGAAAATGAAGAGCAAAATTAACAGCTATGTTAAATTCTACAGAAACTTTTCAGTAATATACATTTAAAATAAGAAAATGTGTTACATATTTCAAATTATGATAACATTTCAAAACACTTAATACAAATTATGCACGATAAAAAGAGAGGAATATGGGAGATTCAGACCACATACACTGAACAATGCATTGATCTAATAATTTATACAAGTTTCAATTATAAATAAAATTTCATGTACATTACAGTTACTAGTGTTATTGATAAACATTTAACTCAATGACATAAGAAAGGTTAGTAAAACTTAAACGCCAACAGTAACCTTGTTTTAGAGGGAAAGTTTACATCAACTATATCATGCATAAAGTTAGACACTAAACATTTCTGTATATACAATTATAAATTTACCTATATTAACTGTGTTCTCAGATGAAAATATTCTTAGTTATAGTTGAAAAAATAGGACTTTTGTGTTATCAAAAATGTTCAAAATGATATCAAAAAAACAAGAAAAAGCATAGCTTATGACCGACTCCGTTTAATATAACAGCTAATAATGTATATACACTTTGATCATACATAAAATTGTCTCTATTTGTTGTTTGGATATGCTATCTTGAACTGATTGTATTGCTGATAGCTCTGAAAAAAATAAGAATAGAATTTATCATAGGTTTATACAAATACCAAAAAGCAATAGATTTTTTGTCAGCACCATTGGTTTGTTCTGAATATATATACATATTGTATACCAGAAAACCTGTATAGAATGTATACTCTTATCTTTTCTCAGGTTAAAATCCATTAATATAGAAAAAGTTAAACTTGTAAAGCTATACTACGCTTATCTTTAGGTTAAATAATTTTATTGCAGAAATTCATTAAAATCTAAGAAATTCTTACTGAAATAGTCTATTATAATAAAAGAATGTACAAACGGTGTTTTATAAACTGCCTTACCTATTACTAATCACGTTCATTTGGTCTTTGTTTAAAAAACTACCAATTTTTAATGACACCATGTAATATAAAAATGTTAAACTAGCGGCTTATAAAGTTTTTGAAGTCAGACTTGATCTACCTAAAGTGTTGCAGAGTTAACAACGAAACAGATCGTCTTCCCTGTGTAGTCAGATGATGTTCATTATACATTTAATGTAATTATCAGTATTTTAAATATTAAATTTGAGCATGAGCTACAATACCTGAACAAATGAACCTCCGTTCAGTTTTGCAGTGGCACCTGACATAAGTCCGGAATTGTATAATGTTGCATTTGCGAATATAGAATCCTCCATGCGGAAATGCAGTTTGCCGTAATTTTTGAGAGCAGGACGTTCTACAGATTGGAGACTGATATGACTTGTTAATTCGTTGTCTTGGATACCTTCACTATATATCCGAACCTTCAAAATCAAATATTGTTAAGCATATCACAATTATCGGAAAGCATAAACTAACAATAAACTCTCATAAAATAAGCTCTCCACTTATTGTCTTTAAAATACTTTATGCAGTATATAACAAATTAATTGATATGCGATATTTCACACTTTATATTTCATTATTAATATAAAGCAGCAGTTTGAGCACAATAATGTCACTTTGATAGAGCATAACTCAAACAGAACCGAAAAATAAAGAAATTCATAATGTATAATATTTTTTGGCATACCTCGTCGATCGTTCCTCGAAAATATGCAGAATTATCTTTTCCAATGAACATTGTCAAGTCAGTTGCATTAGCTGATAGGACAAGCTGTTTAAAAATAACTAAATGTTTATATCTATATAAGATACTATTTGTTATTTTGGAAACATATTGACTACTGAGTATAGCTATATATTGTTTTATATGAATAATAACTAAAGACTTTTTTCACAGTAGATATGCTTTCTTTCAAACAGATATAGAATACAACCAAATAATCCTCTACGATCAATGTTTATTAAATCATTTTCATATATGAAGGATGTATAGTACATACCAAGTCTAATATCACAACGCTGGATGTTTCACCTCTTTTTGTTCCGTCAATAAAGACGGAAATCGTCTCATCTAATAAAATAATTGAACTTTATAAAAAAAACTTCAAAGCTAAGGTGATGTGTGCACGTTATCATATAATGAACATAACACATAGTTTTCTTTATAATTAACATACAGAAAAAACACACCAAAACATGATAATACTCCAATATCAAAACTTCCACAGAACGTGAACATCACTTTAAGCTTTTGTCTATTTAAAGTTTGTAAAATTTAGATAAATATATAAAAGGACAATACTTAAACAAGTTACCTCTTTTAATTTGATTTTTTTTTACTTTAACCTTTCTAAGAATTCATGATTGGTTTCAATGAAAAAGTGATTTGTGATGACTTTTTAATAGTTAATGTAGTAACCGCTTATTATTACCTTCTATCCTGTGTCTAAAGATGACATTATACCATTGGTCAGCTGACAATGAAGTTGATGACGTCACAGTGAAATCTCCATAGCGACCAACCACTTTTCCTGATTCTATTGACATACAGATTGTCTCTTCTGCAGTACAAAATATAGGGTATGGACCGGAAGTGTAACCAGTGTCAAGTGATATCCAAGTCTCGATAGTGAAGCTAAAAAGAAATGAAAACTCAATTTAAGTAAAAAGATACCATACGCAGAAATATGAACGCTTTCCTCATGATATTGCAAAACACACATGATGAAGTTATTCAAGGATATGTTGAAGAAACAGTATATTTGAAAATAACTGCTCGAAAACATTTCAATCCTCTTTTCGTCAGCACGTAGGATCCGAATATAGTCGTAAATCAAACTTTCATTTTATTAAGCGACTACATCAGTTTTATCATTTATTTGATAGATTACAGTGTGTTAGTATGCTCTCACCGAAAACGCGTAAAACAAATAACGCGGCATAAATTGATTATATATCATCTCAACGGTAAATCACTTTAAATGCGTTACGTACACAGTCATTTCTATACTGAGCCACCATTCTTAATTGAAAAAATGATTGGTATGACAATATCAGAGTTAAAAAAACTGTTAAAAAACTAAATTATTGAATTAAATGGTGCATCGACCTATAATATTTTAAAAAGTCCATTTTTGTATTGACTTTGATAAAAGCAGTTGCTTATAAAGGACAATAAGATCATTTTATATAATGATGTGATAAAATATAGAATTACATACTGTAAGACACTTTGATCACTTTTCAAAATCGAATTTTTGTTGATATTGTTACAGACATAAGTGTCAAAATTACCCATAACTGGAACGGAAACTTTCCTCACGTGACTGCATATACAGACTCACCTCTGACGCATGATTAGTTCCATACATGAACAGACCAGATATGCCCGCAAAATTCTTAAATATTAGGAATGAACTGTACTATTGCTTTTCAATTTAAGAGTTTTATTCAAAGGCATACACTTATTCTTATCATCAAAAACATCTGGGGATGAGTTTAAAACGTCCGTGTACAAGGACTTTGAGCAGTGCAATTTTGGACGCTATATGGACGCTACTGACGATAAATCAGGCCCTGATACAGGAATGGATGAGCGTTTCACAGTTGTGTTAGTTGTATGCGAGTTCTTTAAGAGATGTGTGGAGATACATTTTGATTTATTCGAAGAATTTATTCGGAACCAATTACTGTGTTCAAATAATTGTATGATGTCATTTATATATTTCATGAATTTGCAATCTTTCTTTACAATGTTATGTTATATTTCTTTTAAAGTACTTTTCTATAAACTCACTGCAGTGAAACACCTATGAGGTGTAGATTTATATAAGTTTTAAATTTCAGCGAATGCAATATCTTATAGCCCAAATAAATTAAACAACAAGGTGTTGCGTTTTTAAGTGTCTTTTAAGTGTATACTTCTAAAAACCTTCCTTTCAATGCTCAATATAATTTCTAAGTTTCAGGTATGAAAAAAGAAAACGAAATATACACCTGTTTGCCATTCCAAGTGTTACAGCATCATTTAATTCAACGTAATCATCTACTCCGTCGAAGTATAAACCATGGTTGGTATGTTCTAGACAGTCTACCTGTAGGTTTGACCAGATTGTAGGAAATTCTCCAAATTGCAGAACGCCTACTCTACCACCATTAATAGATGCATCGTACAGGTCTCCGGAATCACAGATAAGATTAGATCCTTGGTATATTTGTAAGCTAAATTACAGATTATAAACAGAAACATGTTCATATTTAATACTGATCATAAACAAATTTGTTATGCGAATATCGTGTGGCCATGTGTATTGAAAACATATAACCAGACCTTGTTACCTGAAACAAAACTATGAATTACTTTCCTCTACCAGCTCAACTTAAATTTGCATACATTGTATTCCCTATAATACTTTTATCATTACAATTTTTCAAACTGTTGTGTGATAGTTTGTGATGAAAAATGTTTAATTTAAAATACCTTTATTAATAATTTAATGTGCTTAAACACCTATATCACGTCAGTATTATGTTTTCAAATTCATCTTTGACATTAACAAAAAAAACAAAAACAATTTTAGCACCTTATATATCCAATTGACGGTCTGTGTGTAAGATACCATCTGTACGAAGTAAGAGGTTCCCAACCATTCATATCCGGATCTTGCCACAACATAGTCGTCTGTCCGGAAACGGAATAACTGTGCCACAAAGCTTGAGCAAGACTAGAACTTGGCCCAGTTGACGAATCAACCCGCTAATAAAGATAGGTCACTAAATTCAATATCTTCCAAGACGTAAAACCAAAGATTACAATTTTTTTTCATTGACTTTGAGTAAAGACATTGTCAATGTAATTAATAATATGTGAAAAAATGTTCTAACTGTAACCTATTATGTTACGGATTTTTTATGAATTATAAATATGTAAAAGTCGTACCAAAAACATCTAACTTCCAGTTCGTGTAGAGTCTATTTTAAAACTTACAATATCGGTATTCAGCTTTTTTTGTTTTGAAAAAAAAAGAATGCTTTTATCAAATTTCTATGGATCCTCCCATTTTACTCCGGCTAAGTTAGTAACTTAAGCTATGTATTACCAAAAAGGACTTTCAAATTCATATAAAAGTATAAATAGAATCTGTGCCTTAATCTGTGCTCCTTGTATTCCTCCCTTGTATGTAGATGCCGAGTCTTCTTTATAATTATAGTGTTTGCCTTTCCACATCACAACATAGAACTTCCTGTTATTTGCATAGCCGAACACAAAGCTGAAATACTCATCAGCATTCTCGTGATCAGCATACCAAGTCCCTCTATACTGAATCGCGCCATATAATTGGGTACCTATAAGATATTACATATGCTTGCATTGTCACTCACTGCAATACGTTTGGCTCTTCAACATTTATATGTGCTAAGCGTTTTTGATCTTCAGTATTAACAAAGATCAATTGATGGTATTTTTAAAAATTCGTTTATTAGTTAAATATAAAAAAACAAAAATAAAAATCAACAAAGCAAAAGCAACGTTTACAGGAAGCAGCACCCCCCCCCCCGACATACCCAAGCAGGGCACCCAGAAGGTACCAAACCAAAACCGGGAATGGACATAAGAACGGCGAAAAGAGAATGACACGCAATGTGTGAAATAATAAAACGGGCCCACATGGGAATTAAAGGGACAAGGGCCGCAAGGGTTAAAGGGGAAGCAAAAAATGGGAGGGGGGGGGGTTGTGGTGAGAAGAAATTTCCTACCATATTTCAATATTTCACGATGCCTTTTAAAGCATGTTATGTGTTAATTGCGACAGGACCACCGATAATATACAATTTGTTCATATAAATGATTACACAGTAACTGTACCTATAAGCATTGTGGGCATTTCGGTACCAGTAGTCTGCATTACTTCACCCCCATTGTTTTTCACAAGCCAAACTGGGGTAATCGTTGAAAGTGAAGGGTCTAAATCCACTGTGAAATAGTCTTTAAATGAAGATTCATGCAGTGCTGAATTATAAGGACATGAATCGTTTTGATTATTGACTCCGTCGTTATCCAAGTCAACCTCGCATATATCACCAACGCGGTTTCCGTCGTCATCAGTTTGATCAGCGTTAACATAAAAGGGACAGTTGTCATTATCATTATCAACACCATCCCCGTCAATATCTGTGTCACACAAATCTCCTGCAAAACAAGGTACAACTATTTATTTAGAAAAAACAAGTTATATAAAATTGTTTTTGATATAGCATATAATCTCTATTTTGTTAAATTAAATACGATGTCGTATTAATGAATTCAAAAATATTAGAAACAAAGTAAAAAGATTTTTGTTTTCAAAATTCTCTGTTTATCAATAATATGATGTTGTGGTATCAATGGAAAGGGTTAAAAAAATTTTCAAGAATCTGAACTATGAAATTTATCCAGTACATGCAGGAGCAGGATTTGCAAATCTATTAAAGTACTTCTTTAACAAATTATTGCCGTATCAGTTGTTGTTTTAAAATTATTCTGTTCAATGGTTTATTATAATTAAAGCTGCATGAGATTAAAAGCGCTTTTGACTGTATTTGTTTGGATAAGAAGAACAAACCTATGCCGTCGTTATCTGTATCGGCCTGATCGCCATTCATATACGACGGACAATTATCAAATGCATCTGGTATACTATCACCGTCCCTGAGATAAAGAGAGAAATATTCGAGATATTTGAATGTCTTAAGAGATAAATATAAACAAACATGTAAAATTGATATAATATAAATAAATAATACGATTTTTGTTCTAGAAAATGAAAAACATGTTAGACTTTAGAACTTTGTGTTGGCATCACACTGACAGACAATCTTTTGTTAAATGAGATTGAAATAAAACCTCTTTGTTAACATAGTTCAATACAGCAATTACACATTAGTAACTGGAAGTAAGAAATAAATATCTTTTTATCGTTTGAAAAACATGTTATTTAATTTTATAAAAGTATTGTGATTGTATGACATTACATACTCATCGATGTTTGATGCACCTACAGCATCACAAGAATCACCATAGAAATTAGCATTTGAGTCTGTCTGGGCGGAGTTTGATGTACTAGGACAATTATCACAGGCGTCGCCAACACCATCACCATCTGTGTCTTCTTGTCCAACATTTGCAACAAGCGGACAATTGTCAGAGCCATCAAGAATTCCTTTGTTGAAAAAAAGTTTCATACTAATAGTTGGAATGTATCTATATATGTATCTGTCACCGGCTAAATGGAACCAACAATACTAAAACCATATTCTACAGTTTCATTTATAACCCAGTGATATAATAGTTTTTAAAGTTTATACGTTCAATTTTTTAAGTTTTTTTTTAAGGTTTCCGCACCATATATCAGATAATTCACGCATTATCTTACGTAAAAAAGCAAGTTTGTATAATGCTCCTTCATATTGTATTAAAGATCCTGTATTATTATTACCAGGTGTATACCACTCTTGCAAAAAAAGTTAAATATGTATATAAGTATGCAAATAAAACAATTCTGAAACATCGAAGAAGATGTAAAATGTCTACTGAAAATATTTGTGCACGCTATATTTTATCAGAAAATTACATGCATTCATTTCTTTTTTTGGAAAATTTGACTAAGAATTTATTAAAAATTAACGAATGTATAAAATATATAGATAGTTTGTTTGAAGTCATAAGGGTTATGATAAACGTCCGAGTGTGGAATATATAATGATAAAAGAGGATACTTGATAAAGGTTTTACCGTCATTGTCGTCATCAGTATCACATAAGTCACCCACTCCATCTCCGTCAGCATCAGCCTGGCTTATTGAGCTACCGTCATTAGGACAATTATCACAGGCGTCACCAACACCATCGCCGTCTGTATCCAGAAGGTCATTATTATCCACAAATTGACAATTATCCTGTGAAAAATGGAAAGATAGATAAAGAACATCTAACAAAAAGCTTTAATATGTCACATACCATTAATATTTGAATAAAGCATATGTATTGAGTGTAGATGGAAATTGTCGTTTTAAAAGTTAATATATCCGCTAATTTATATATATGGCTATCCGTCGAAAAGCAATTGTATGATATGTTTAATCTATGCTTACATGTGTGTGGTGTTTAAATAAATAATAAACGAAACATAATTTAGGAAATTATACTTCATAGTCATATCTGTTATCACGGTCATCATTATCATCACAATTATCACCAAAGCCATAACCATCCGTATCTTCCTGCATACTATTTGGTACTACTCCACAGTTATCCTGCAATATGTTGCCATATTTGACTATGATAATTATATGATAAAAATACCATATTTATTTCATAATTCAGAACATCCTACAATTACACTTAATATTGTTAATACAAAATATAACCATTACTTTTTCACAAACATTTTGAGATAATGCATATATTAATGCAAAACTTTATTTCTAAAATAGAAATAATTAAGATGTACATATCATGAATATAAAATCAAAACTAAATAGAATCATCAAATATTAACAAAGTGCCTGCTAATATTAAATGATTCATTTGCAATTATTAATTAAACCGACTCGTTTTAACTAACCCTTCGACATCCCCATTCGACACAGGGCAATCCGCTGTCCGGAAACCCGTCCATATCCGTGTCAGGACCACATTTCGCTCCGTTCCCAGCGTAACCCGGCTTACACTTTATAAAAGAAAAAAGTAACGTAAGTCAGTACTGTGGAAATTTATTGTAAGTATCAAAAATATAATATCTATCGAAATATATTCCATAGAAAATTATAATTCTTTGGAAAACAAACACATGTTTTCCTAATTTCTAGTATGCAACTATTGCCAGGTAGTTCATAAAAGAACGTGTTGTGCTGGACAAAAACATAGAAAATACTAAATAAGTACTTTTTATTTGATATGACATTTCAGTATCAAGATAAAATCCTTGTTAATGAAGCACATGCTGAAATTTTTCATATTCACGATTAATAATATTTGTCCACAATCCATTTTCGAAAATCATTCTTTATTCACCTTTTTAATATGTGCATTGCCAAATTTATATTTTCATGGTAGTATAGCATTTTCAATAAAACTCCATTACACTATACCTACAAACATGCATTTAAATAAAACTTCCTGTACTTACCACACATTTGTACTGTCCAGGACCGAGATATACACAGTCAGCTAAATCTGTGCAGTCATGGGCGCCAGATAAACAAAAGTTGTCAAGGTAACAGCCACTCCTATTGGTCCCTATATATCCAACTGAACAAAAACCACAATAGTAGCTTCCCTTAAAATAAAACATTAAAAAATATCATTAGAAAGTGTATGATAAGCCAAGCAGGCTTTAAAAATATGACATTTGTTAACGTTTTTCCGGTATTGCACATAAACAGACTCAATCTAAGTTTTGTTTCTGCATTTTTTATAACACATATGATTTTCATTTTATCACAAATGTGGTATGAACAATTGCCTTTCCGTAATACATAAATCTAGAACCATCATTCAAATATTAATATTGTGTTATTTCAATCCCGATTTTAACAGTTTCTTATCAGCTTTAAACTCGATTAGCAAGATATCATTCAATGTGAATTAAATGTTTAGGAGAGTGTCCAATATGTGTTCAATTATTTTGTTAAAAATCTCTCAATACCCGTTAATGCATTTTTATATCAAATAGCTCACTCTTAAATTAGAAGTTACTGTCTCTTTCACTCTTTATACTGTTTTTTGGTTATATTTTCTTTTGGTAATAAGTTATTCTAATATTTCATGATGTTAATTTACTTACAATAGTATTAACACATTCCATACGTGGATCGCATCCGCCATTATTTGTTGCACATTCATCCACGTCCTCACATTCTTGGTAAGTAAAGTTCGATTTTTCCAAATTCCTATATATAAATACACGCAAGTATTTATCGTGAGAGTAGGCATCTTCAAATGTTCCAGTATATCCTATTGGGCATTCTAGACACTGATATCCCGGCTCGGTGTTGATACAACGATTTTGAAAGCACGGCTGATAAACTGTACACTGAAAAACATTTATCATAATAACGTTATTGAAATTGACATTGACTATTCTCTTTGTATTTCAATGGTATCTTATTTACAAAAATGATAAAAAAAAAAATCAAAAAACAACATCAACATATAGTATATATCACAACAATATTTCAGCAAATCTAGATTATTTGGAAGATGTTTCATAAAGGTATTCTCCGTTTTGTGTGTAATAGTTTCATTTTTAATAAGTTGCTGTTGCGGGGATGAATTGTATTTAAATGACATTATATATAAGGATTTTCAATATGTTAATAATTCTTAGATAAGGATTTTTTATATGTTAATAATTTTAGATCAATTAATTTATATCATAATTGACCTCATCTACATCTGTACATGTTGTACCATCACCCGTCAAACCCGCCTCGCAAGCTGTACATCCGTACCCTCCTGATCCTGAAATATTATCAATTATACTGTTAGAAAATATTCCGCCAAATTGTCGGCTTGGATGAATGAATATTGATGATATATAAATCGTATTAATATATGGAAAAACGTGATCAATCGGAAGCATTAAAATGAGAAAAACAACATGAAAATTTAAGAGTCCTTACATCCTCTAGTTATTTTTTATTTGATCGGTTATTCTGCAGAATTCAAATGAAACATACCACTGTTATTATTTATAACTCTATCTAAAAGGAACACGAGGACCTTAATTATTTGTATAAACATTTTCAGATAAATACAAACTATTCTGAAACAAAATTCTAAAGATACATGAATTTTAAAATACAAGTAGGTTTCTTAAATTTAGATCCCTTATTATAAGCATTGAATGTTATTAAAAGCTGTTTGTTAAAACTTTAGTTCACTTTTAAATTCAGAACCCATGCATTGTGTATTGAATATTAAAAAAGCGTGTATCATGTAAAATCGCAACATTGTTCACACTGACAAATCTCAGTTTCTTATGTACGTTATTTTTCAATAAAAAAAGTTCTTTAAAAAAGTACATTAGCAACATGACAATATACCTGTATTATAACAATAGGATTCAGAATAACACTTGTCGCCATCAAGACACGGACATTCAGTGGCATCTGCACATGCAATACATCTTATTCCTGTACTATACTCTTCAGGTTCACATTTCTCGCACCCATCCATTCGTCTCGCACTGTAAAAGCCTGGGCTACAGCTTTTACAAGTGCTTTGACCTTCTAAGTCTTGATAAAAACCTTCATCACAGGATACACAATGCTCTACAAATAATGATATGAACATACACAATACATATAAAAACGTACGGTACACATGCAAGTGCGCATTCTTTTGGTTTTAATAGATTTAGGGTTAACGAGTTAAAATATTTTTATAAAGTGCCATTTTAGCATAGAAAATGACCATAACGCAATATATCTGCTGTATATTTACTGTCAAAATGTTTGAATGTTGAAAATGAATTCTTTAGAAATGCTGCCTGAATGAAAGTAATATGTTTTAACTGTTAAAACCTTATATAAAAAATAGTTCTATTTTGCTCCGCTGTATATTTACAATATTCATATTCAATTACAGAGAGTCAGATAATTAGTGTTATAGTACCTTGAAACCCATCCGAGTATGACCCCGGCAAACAAATTCTTCTTATGCCGAGATAGCAAGCATATCCTGGCTCACACTGGGTGCATGACGTCGGACATGACGTATTAGTGCACGTTTCATAGTGATATAAGTCACATGGAGTTGCGTATCCATTTTTACATATCTATAAATATTTTATGACGGAAAATTAAGAATGATTTTTGAATATTTAAACAAGGGTTGACAAGCAACTGGAAAAGAAAACTGACACATTGCCTACGCCAAATAATGTTCAGTGTTCAGATACTTTTATGGTGGATGAAACATTATTGAAACTTATTATAATACTTAATTATATATTTCAAAAGCAAAATATTGGCAATCACATAAGTATTGTAAATACAGTCTTTTTATACAACACTTAATTCTAAAGGTAATCGTATTTACAACATAAAATGCTTTGATTGAAATAAATAGCTGCTATGTCATTAATTTTGATGTCAATGCCATCTGACACATTGTTTAATTGTATCATCATTATGAGTACATTATATAGCTAATTCGTTTATTATATATTTCATTGCCCATATACAAAATACAAAAATAATGCAATTTTGAGGTCTATTTTATTATGTAACTTAAATAGTTCATTTGTTTGGATGTATTTATCACACGAATATCATTTACTATGCTATCTTTTTTTTCTTTTATTAATTTAACTATTGACAACGTCTTGATTTTTCCTTTTTTATTATTTTGTTTAAACATCTGCATATTTACCCATCCAGTCGGACAAGGCGAACATTCCGACTGTGCCCCAAACGAATGTTCAATAGGGTTTTTATTACACGTGGCGTTAGCATCTTCACATCTGCCACACAATTTCTGAACACCCTCACCTTCACAGTAATATGTAGTCTCACATCGTTGACAGCTCACATCATCTTCATTGTTAATAATATAAATATTGTTATGTGAAATGAAAAAAAAAATTGTATATATCTTCAAGACTAGGTGAACATCAGTTAATGTGAATGCATTGTCAATTTTATGCGCGCGAATTAATCATAATAAAATGTAATTGTTGTTTAAGAAGTAAACGGGAAAGTAATAATAAGCAAAGGAGGAAACAAGGATGTTTTAAAACAAAAACAGGAAATCTACATCTAACTTTATCGATTAACATATTTATCGATTAAAATGCGTCTAGAAGAAGTAAAGGCCTCAACAGACGGAATGATTTAGTTATACAACATTTATTAAAGATATGATGTACACTTTTCATAGCAATACAACATTTGCATTCAGACCGTAAATCTATGTAGTAATTTTAATCACCAGGCTTCCCTCCAAAACAATACGCTCTGAATGGATCCATTAAATAATTTATTTACTATAATTATTACCGAAATATGTGTAAATGTTATATAATTGTTAGTATTGACCATTTAAAAAGATTGATTCAAAGAAAGGCTGTGGATAACATTGAAGAGCATTAAGGAGATTACCATGTTTTGGAATGAATAACATAGCTGAGCACCCTAAAGGCTGTTCTTTGTTTTGATGTCACGGTTAAAATTTATTTTTCTGTATGATTAATGATGGCAACTCCTTCACTTTCTATAAAAAAAGTCAATAATTATATTTTGAGTAATTTGGGATTCGAACATGCCACAACTAGGGGTTCCCGAAGATTTTTTTCAACAAAGTTTTTTCTCCATCTTATTACTATGTTCAAATATTAGCCCTAATGGTTCTGGAATTTCGTTCATTAAACACATTATCAGGGCATAATTGGGAAATCTGTCACCTATCATCGTGGGAGGTCTGTACAAGTACAATTTAGAGATAAAACATGACTGCCCTATCCTGTAAATCTAGTGTAAAGTTGTACGAAATCACGAAATAGAAATCTTCACAAATTTACATTTGCTTGTACACCTACGTTTTAATTGCTGTTGTACTTCAAAATCCTACCGTCTTTTAAGGCCTTAAGTTTCTTTGAAAACTTAAATATTGGAAAAATAGACTGCATTTAGAAATACGTTTGGTGTGAATTAGCTAAATAATAGTTTATTTCATTCTCTTAGTACATTTTACACAGGTTGTTTATGCCGCTTAGCAAGTTATGTTATGGAGCAATAATATACTAAATATAGCTTACAAAACAGTTGTTCTGCTTGTGGACAGCCCTCAAACTCTATCCTCATGGCGATATTCCCAGACCATGTTTGTGGGTTAACACGTACTTTGTTACTCAATATCACGGGGTCAAGGTCGTATCTTACAACAGTCGTTCTGTCAGTATTGCCAACAAATGTCTAAAATAAACGTGTAAACTAAATATACATTTATTTTATACGGAAAAGATGTCTTAGAGAATATTACGCCTTTATGTCCCTCCATGAGAAGATCACATAAAAGTAATCAATTTACCAGCATGTTGCTCTTTGCTATGAAGTAAAGTTTTATGACATCACAAGATGTAAGTAATAATATCATCACATCAAAGTGTACTATATCATTTTAACCATTTCATCATTTCACTTTGAGAAATATGTATAATTTTCTACCATTTTCTTTCCAAAAATCTCATGCATGTACTTGTCACATACTGTCAGTTCAAATATCAGCTGATAGAATCTCTATTCTTTATTATACTTACATCTGAGCCTAAGGCATTAGTATAAGTTGTCCATACTGATGTATCCTCATCAAAATACAGTAACTTGAAAGATGTCACCCATTCATCAGCATCCGATCTACCCTGTATATAAACTGCTGTATAACGATATGGCATGTTCATATCTACTTCAACATACTGGTTCGTATCAAGAACTCCTGCTACCCATGCCCCAGCTAACTGACTGTATGTATCTGTTTGATTTAACATAATATCATTATTCTAGATAGGTAAAATTTATATTTTGCCTTAGATCACACCAGTTCAGAAAATGTATTTATTTATTGATATAAAACGATAAATAAAATACAAATTGAATAAACTTATATGTGTATTTCTTTTTCAAATTGTAGCACTTTATGTAACAAATTGTATGGACCAGCCTACATACTTTCTATATGGTTAACCCGAGCTCTTCCAGCGTGAGTTGAATCCTTGTTAGAAACTGACGAAGCTGACAACATGTTATCTAATACTGTGCCTGTTGTCAATCCGATGACGTCATCACACTCTTAATGAAAGACAAAACAAAATGAAATATAGTTTGAGAAGTTCGACAACAAGTAGATTTAATATGTAAAATATTTTTTTTTGTTTCATCTCTTATCTACAACTACACTACATTATTATACATATGCATTTGTAGAGGCCGCTGTCCGCATTGATCTCGTTTAAAGGAAACCTACGGGATATAGCCTAACTATTATCTTTAGAATAAGATTAAAATTATTTGAAACAGAAAATAACGCACTGTATGAACATTGAATTGAGGCTCTTTAAATACTCACTAAATTCATACATCCAGTATCCAGGTATTCTCAATGTCATTTCTCCTGTTGTGTCATTCACATGAAACATGTACCTGATCTTCCCGAATAAAACATCTAACACACAAGTGTTGCTCACTGTGATATTTATAGCGGCTGTCATACCAAAGGGTACAGTGCCGTTGTCCATTGCAATCACATTAAATAACAGTGACGTATATTCTAAATATACAACATCCCAGAGATCTTCTGATCCGTCGTAGTTCACAGGTGGGCTAATAAATGCAGTTAAAGAACGAAATAGCATAGGACGTGATTTAAAAACAATCAAACAGAAAAATAGATTAAATTTAGCTATTAGCCATAAATGATATATTCCGTGTTGAGGGTATTTTAGTATGTTATCAAAATATATGAGTAAATTTGATTTTATATTTCAATTAATTCACACAGAGCTATAAAATTTTCAAATTAAAAAAGAAATGAAAAGTAAAAACAGTAATCTCACAATAACAGTTGATGTGCGTTTTACAAATTCTGCAAGCGTTTAACAATTCTACATTCTATCACGGGCAATTAAAAAATGGCAAACATGTTTAAACTCATTAAATATTAATTCCTGATAATGATTTTTTTAGAGGTTTTGCTTTGTAACTTACTCTTCTGTAACACTGGAAACAACATAATGGATATTAGAATTTTCACCACTGTCTGCATCTGATACAGTGAATGTGGTAAATGCTGGTTCTCGTAACACGGGTTGGGGAGTCAACGAAAATGACGTCGGAGATAAAATTGGACAATTATCATTCACATCAACGATGATGATCTGGCAAGAAGAAAAGAAAACAAAATTATCATGCATTCCTCCCAAAGTTATCAAACCGTTTCGTCATTTAACTATTCATTCAATTATTATAAGGGATTTCTTGAACAATACCTTTAATACAGATGATGAAAGAAAACACATCAGAAAGATAGCGGTCAAGCGAATGCTTCGCAACTAAACACTGTGGGGTAACTTTAACAATTTTATTGAAATGACGATATTATAATGTGTCATTTGATATGAACAAAATACAACAAATCCATTTATGTAAATCAACAAAATTACGGAATCATACAAAATTTTAAAAAAGCCAAAGACAGTTACGCAGGGCTACAGTGGGTAATACAGTCACCTAATATTCAGAATCAATACATTAAACAACATACTATAATATAATAAAAAAACATATCTAACTTTGTTATTCAAACTAAATAAAAATAAATGTATACATTTACCCGGACAGCTATGTACCCTGTTAAAGGTTTACCGTCATCAATTACAGATAACAAAAGGTAATATTCTTTCGTGACTTCATAATCTAACTCGTCTGCTAGCGTAACGTACAGTGACGTCGAAGATATCGAAAACGATTCTGCTGACGCGTCATTAGCCATGGTTACTAGTGGTGATGTCGCATTACAAGCTGTTATGAAAATAAGTTCGAGAACGGAATGTAGCATCACATTTTAATCATCAAATCTATTGCTATGGTATTCATCTGATAGATGGTTAGATAAAAAAATAAAATGTATAGATATCAATATGATAGACCATGCAACTTAACATTTTGTGGTAAATATAGATCTCAACATCTGATCAGTGTTATTTTACTCAAGCACATACCAATGTAGTTTTTTTTTTGGACACTATAATGATATGACACGGGTTTGCATGAATATTGACGCCTTTAATGTATAAATTTTTTCCGAATGAACAAACCGTCCAACTTAATACATGAATACATTTTGGGTGATCTTGCTTAAATTATTGACAGTGCTTCTATACATATTATTTTTCAGAAACATAACAAGAAAATAACAATATGATTAACAGTGTCACGCACAAATCGAAAAAGAAAAAAAAATAATGAGAATGACAAGGTCTTATTCAAAAGATAAGTCTACTTTTAGAGAAAACATCGAAATAATTGAAAAAGATGCATCATATAGGGAAAGCGTACTTCAAATTTCAGTTACTCCTGAAATATGTTAATTAACAATATAAATGAATGTACGAACATAACTGAGATCATATTAATTCATTCAAAAGATCATGCAAATTACATAATTGAAAGTGTTGACGAAACGTAATTTCACAACATAAATTTAACTAAACTAAACGTATCAAGTGAGCTAACATTGGATGATATAACATTTAACATATACATATAAATAAATAATGAGTGTAGATTTACTTACCAATAAAACTTACAGTGTTACTATTATATGAGAGTTCATGCCAATATACCCTTACATTATTGCTTTAACATGTACCAATATAAGTTGTGCTTTTATATGTACAAATTAATAGTAACAACATAGATAACTGTGTTTTACATTGGATTATATGGCTGTACATACCGACATAATTGACATTGTTTTACATTGGATTATATTGTTGTACATACCAACATGATTGACAGTGTTTTACATTGGATTATATTGCTGTACATACCAACATAATTGACATTTTTTACATTGGATTATATTGCTGTACATACCAACATAATTGACATTGTTTTACATTGGATTATATTGCTGTACATACCAACATGATTGACAGTGTTTTACATTGGATTATATTGCTGTACATACCAACATAATTGACAGTGTTTCCTTCTATGTCGGTTATTGTTGTGTAATCTGGGGCAGGAACAGGGGAAGCAGTGAACGTGTATGAAGGTGGCTCAATTGTAAACCGACGTTGTTCATTACCTGCAAATATATCATCATATAGCTAAAGCACCGGCAGTGGAGTTATTAGATATATAAAAAGGTGCTTTGTCAAATGTTGATTAAATGAGACATATGTGGCAATGACGCCCCTTTTTAAAATAATATCAGAAAAATATCAAATTCAACAGTAACCTTACAGAAGAATTACTGAACGTCAATCACACACATTATTTTCCCTGTAACATTTTAGAAATGAAACCAAACTTTTACCATTACTTGAATTTGGATCTAAGGTGTAACCTTTATATAACGAAATACTGTAGGAGCCAATTGAGAAGTCGTCTATAAGATTAACTTCCGCTAGGATTTCTCCTATCTGCGTATCTTCGTTCCACGAGACCGAATAATCGATAGGAAGGTCAACAGTTTTGTCAAGGCTAAAGGTCGTATCTTCTACTTCAAATAGTAATTCCGAGTTACAGCGTCGTGTTTCAGCATGGAAGATGTCCATATGATACGTTACACCGATCTATGTGGTAAATATTAAGATATAAAGCTATATCGTATACATGTGTATACATATATCATTCATAGCAAAAATAAAAATTAACACTGATTATTTTGCAAGGCGTGTTATACCTCACACTTTTCATAATTGTTATGAGTTGTGTCGTTTAACATATTTATAATTTAATTATTCTTTCTTGTGATTAAGTGTTTGTAAGTAAATAAACTCGGAGAAGTTACAGCTTCTATCAAACCATTGAGCTGTTTGCTTTTTATACTTCAAATGTTCCTTAATTTTTATGAATATAGCCTCGAAGAGATATTTCACATACAGCTAAGGTTAAATAAATGTACAGGTTGTGGAAATATACCTCTAATGGCAGACTTATATTAGTTGCTGCTGATAAACTTGTGCATGATTCTCCAGATAAAGTACCTTCCTGCACGTACGCAACACCATCTTAAAACATAGTAAGAAGTTGATTTTAAATAATAAAAGTAAAAAATGTAAAACGATTACCTATATCTTGACTAACAGTTTGGAAAATATGTTAGACTTTTTTTATTGTTTGTGAAATGCATATATCAGTAAATGCTGTTTTTCTTTGCCAGTATAACCGAATGCTAAAATCATGTTACTTCTTAAAGCTTCAACTTTAATATAAATTATAGCAAATGAACATTCTATGACAGATACCTGGTGCAAGTGCATTGGAAAGGCTAATAACATAGCATTTGATGGTTGATGATCCTACAGATATAAACTCAAACATCCTGATTTTATTAATGTAAAACCACAATGCTTCTCCACCAGCTAACGTTATTTTCTCTGTTCCTGCAAAAACAATCCCTGTTCGTACCGCAGTCGTGAATCTGAAATGTATCATATTGTTTTGGGTAAAGCTGTTATTAAAGAGATATAGAGAAAAAAGTTAGATATGGTTTTTTATTTATTATCGACCTTATTTTTTTTTTAATTCTGTACTTATACTTTAAATTGTTTATGTACTTATATTAGAATACTTGTGGATGTCAATCATATAAGTTGGAATAAATAAAACATGCGTTTCTTTATGTCACACAACAAATAGAAAGTGATAATTTCCCACTCTGTTGGCGTACTTTCAAACACTCCTGAAGCTATCTAAAACTAAATTTTGTAAATTTACCTTTTAGATGGTTTTCGAAGTTAATTTAAATTTTTAAAATACATTTTCATTGATGTACTAGTAAGAATAACAAAGGAATTGGCAAATTATGAACACTGGTATCAAGACCGCTAACAACTTACCCAAAGTTATGATACTGGCCGTTACAATCTTGTTGAGATTGAGACAGAAAACCTGATCCATCTGCTGGGAAATATGCATCCGAATAGTATCTGAAATAATTCAAGAAATAGAATGATATTCATACATATAATTGTACTGTCTTTTAAATAAATCATCACTGTTGCTTCACCCTTATATGCATATCAAAGCAGACAAATCGTTACTTTGATATTTTTCAATATTTGGTTTGACTAGAGCGGTAGTAAAATAATTTCAGTTTCTTAAAAAAAGTTGTTTTTATCAACTGAAGAAACTTGAAATACCTCTGGAAAAGACGTTTAATTGTTTGTGTTAAACAAGTGAGAAACAATCTTAGATGAACTTTATATACACTTTATTAAAGAAATAATAACAAGTAGATTTAACTTAAATGACATTGTTTTGCAACCTTTTAATTGTTCCAGTTTGGGCTCTTAGAATAAGTGATCCATCAATAACAATGTTATTGTTATTCACGTCATCTCCTCTATACCATGTTGAAAATGTATCACTAGTGGGTGTGCTTGATGCAGAAAGCCACGCCCCATATGGACTGTCAACGTAGCTTGGATTGGATATTGTGATATATTCTAAGTCATCAAAGTCCACGTGAAGTTTACTAAAGTCGTAAAACGTTGCATCAACTTCTATATCATTTGGACCAGCAGGTGTAATTGTCCCTGAATAAAACGTGTATATGTTATGTAGATGTGTTACTCATAACCTTGATGGGTCATTTTTGTTTAAAACAACCCGAACATTTGATATATGAATTTTAAAGAAGTCTTTTTGTATTGAAAGTTAATTGTAACATGTATTTAATCGATTCCACTCTCAGTAAATAGAATTGAGTACTGACTTAACTTTCTCTCACTTTAGAATTGCAACGTCTCAAAGATACCAGTTTAGTATTCTTCATCCAGATGATTCAAAAGTATTATTTTTTGAAAATATGTCAAATATTTAAGTTTAATATGATCCAGATTCTTTTTGTACGAGGTTAGTTTACAAAAATATGCGCCAGTTAGTATATACTTATAAGAAACTACTATTTGGTATTATGAGTCCTTGAGCAAAACATTATAGCGCTCTTAAACAATTACACCATTGAAATGAAGTAAAGGTGAATCTTTAAATTAAGTAATAGTTTTGATATCAATCAGTTATTTTATGATGATAATTAACCTGTTCCATCAGGTGTGGTGAATACTGCCGGTGGGCTCTTTGCGCTGTCTTGACCATCTATTGTAGTTTTAACAGAACATTCATATGAGGTTCCTGGTAGTACTCCGTCAGCCTCCACAAATGTTACATTAAAAGAGGACGATCCATTTACAGCCTCGTCATCTATGATCATATCAGTTAACGTTGTTCCAGAGGCACTGCTGCAGTTAACTGTGTAGTTTCTATGATATAGAATAAGTAAATACTGGCAACATATGATGTAAAAGACAAATAAAAACGGTCTCAAAGTATAAAGGACAATGTAAACAATTGTTTGAATTTTTTTTTTGGAATAATTTTACTCTACCATATTACAACATAACTTTTATACTATATATTGATAAGCATAAATCAGTTGAGGACGAAATAGCATGTTACAAATATTATCTTGATCAAACCGGTGACAGTCCCAGATCAGACGAAATCGAACCGAGATTACGATTTTCACCTTTTGAATTTTGTTTACATTGCTCTATGAGGCACAATTAAAAATTAAGATACAAAAAGAATCATGATTATAGTTTCATACGCTTAAAATGTTCCTGTTCAAAATTTGATATGTGCGCTTCCAACTTTTTATAAAAATTAAATTTGTATCGATTTCATTCAATATTTTAAGTACTATAAATTCGATCAGTATTGTGCTTTTGTTGAATAATTAATTTATAAAATTTTCATACACAGGTCCTGTCAGGTACGGAAAATTTAAACTTCCATTCAATCTAAAATAGGTAAATTCCGGCTGATCCCATATCAATGTAAATTCTGTTTGGGTGACGTCGCGACTAACAACATTTTCACCACCTGTAATAAAAACATGAATTATAATACATAAAATTGAAATCTTTATGTACGAAAAGCTGTTTCAGTTAGATTTAATTGATACGAATAATTGTTTACATGTTGATGTTGCTGTTGTTGTAAACGTTAGTTTGCACTTTACAGTACCGTCCATGAACAGACTCAATCAAACCGAGTCTGCAACATTTTCAGTTTTGCCGTTTTGGACTTTCTTAAGGGATTCTTATTGTCTCTAATAGATTAAACACATAACGGATAATAATTTACATGTTGTTGTTGGACTTGTCACTAAATTTGCAAGGTTATGTCTATATCACGATTTCAGTATGTTTCTTGTTTTACATTAAGCATAGATTAAGATAAATGAACTTACTGCACTGGAAGAAAGTGCTGTTCATTGTGAGAAAGTGGTTTGGTGAACCTGTTGAGCTTTCTGCGAGAGAAGCACCATAAGCTAGGTCGTTTTGCTCGCATGTTCCCGAAGTCACAGATGAAGCAATGGGTTCCAATGCAGACATCATCTGACACGAACATTCTAATGGATTGTTTCCCAAGTTTCTGTTTCGGTTAGAAAATTTCTTTTTGTGATAACGTTGAAAATCATACATGGTATATAGAATGCACAGTCATCATTTTATAAAACAAAATCATTTAAGAAAATATGAAATAGTAGTTAATTTTGCCAGATTTAATATTGAATGACTACACAGTAATAAATAATATTAAAAAACTAAATTTTTACTATTTTTCCCGAATTATTCTCTAGTAAAATTAAAGCGATAAAGTATTTTGTATGGAAGTCAAATACAACATTGTTTACATTTTGCTACTTTTATGACACTTTTATATCTTTAAAATAGCGTTTTTCTATCAAGGTGATAAGTATATAAATGCTTTAATTCCAATATTCAATATTATTAAATTCAAATGTTGGACTTTTCATATGTAGAATATATGTATATATGTATGTACTCATTTATTAGGCATATGCCTTTTACCTATGATAATATCGATTTTTTTACTCCGGAAAAATAAGTTGATGAGAAAATCTTATCTAATATATTTTTGTGAACATTATAAAAATCTTTATTAGAAACAGAAAGATTTAACACACTCATACGCTGCCACGTACACGCACACATGCATGCAAAAGATTTGTTTTAAGTATAAAGTATTATAATTACAATTCCTGTAGACTTGTCAGATCATTAAAGCCTGAATTAGCCAACGTCCGAATATTGTTGCTACCAACATTGACTATCTGAAGGTTTTGTTTATCACCAAGAGAATGTAAGTGTGTCATTGAGTTATCTGACAAATACAGCTCCTCCAGGATTGTCATGTTTACAAAAAGTCCTTCAGGTAGTGTGTTCAGGTTGTTGCTAGCAATTGATCTGTAAATTGAAAATATTTTTTTAATATCGGATTTATGCACAGGTATTTAATTGAAGAAAAATCTTGAGATTGGATTGTGCTGTTAATCTGAAACACAAGATAAAAAGATAAAGTTTGACCTCAAACTTGTATCAACTATTTACCAATTTAGTTACTTATTATCATACACAAACCAAATCATCAACACACATATGAGGCAGATACTAAACAGTATATGCACTTGTATCTTTACACAACATATAAATAAACAAAGAAACGTTATTTAAAGAAATGTCAGGGAAACAAACATGCCCCCGAAGGCACAATACAGGCCCCAGTTCACTACAAATAAAATGATAATTAAACAAAATGTCAAAAAATGCTCATTTTCAAAGAAACAACCCTTTCTGGGGATAAAAACACAAAATAACAAAACAAATTAAAAAATTATCTGATTAATTTTTGGATGAAGATCAATATTTGGATAAACTGTAAAATGCTCAAATCTTGCAAACATAACAAAGAAGATATTCTAAACTTTCATAAACATGCTATTTAAGTCGCCCATTTTAATTAAATGCAATAAAGATAAAATCTAATGATTTCACAAAATAAACTTACAGAATAAGCATGGCCCCTAAGTCTTCAAAAACTCCATCTTCTAGGTACTCGATTATATTATTACCCAAGTAAAGTTCTTTAAGGAAAGTTTGTCCAGCCAGGTACCCAGTCGGAATCTCCGTTATATTGTTGTTGGTTAAATCACTTCAAAACAAAAGAAAATCATACTAAAATAAGCAAAATAATAATACTTTTTTTTCAGAAATATTTTCATATTTATATCATTAACAAATTTGAAAGCAGGATTATGGATGTCACATGGACATGAAATATCTACATACACATGCTTTAGTTTATTCATTTAATATAGCCATACTATATTTGATTCAAACAATCAGGAAAGTCAATATGTTTGTATCTCACAAGTTTGTTGTAAAATAACATATTTTACTATAGAATAATAAAATATATTAAACGTTTACTTTAGAAAATATACATATGCGGAATTGAGTAAAAAAATCCAAAATTCAGAATTTGAAGAAAAATAATACCGAACTTTAAGAACATCATGAAGTTGTATGTGTGTTATGCAAAAGATGACACAATCTTGATCAGGAGCATTGCATTTCATTTGTGTAAGCCAATACAACGAAAAACGGTCTAGACATAAAAAATATTCATTTATCAGTTTTAATTTCAAAACATGGCTAGTAAGTAATACTTACATGATCTCGAATCGCTTTGTTTGAATCACTTGTGGGAACAAAGTGAACGCATTATTGCCAAGATAAATATCTTTCATGCCACAGTTCTCAAATGCGTCGTAACTTATACCGTACATACCGTTCCCGTTCAAATAGAAATTGTCGGATACGTACGAAGTTCCTCCAAATATGGGATTTCCGATGATATTTAATCTATTTCCACTTAAGTCCCTGAAATATTTTGTTTAACAACGTAAGCAATATTTTGTATCATTAAATAAAAGGGAATCTTACAGCCTTGTTATTAAATATCAACAAAATAAATATTATAAAGGAAACTGAATTTGTATTACACAAGCGCTTACTTTTCTTATATGACTATACCCCCAGTAATATCTATGGAAATTGTGTCCATTGTGGACCAATCCACTTTAAATTTATTAAATGTCTTTGTTTAATGTTACATGAAACTTCTGTATTCCCACCCATACTTAGAAAAACTTCACCTACATGTTATTCTGCGAGTAAATCGAAAATACAACTCTGTAACATATTAACAGGAAAACATAACATGGCTTTCTACGACTTGTTTTCCATATTTGATCTGTATCCAAAAGTGGTCATCACATATAAGTATACTTTTATTTACTTACAGAATTACAACCTGCAAATCGTTGAATGCACTTTCTTCTATATCAGATACTATACCGGAACCTAGATAAAAGTTGGTCGCCGCCACGCTACTGAACGCCATTGTTGGTATTGTTGAAAACGACAAGCTATGCATAAATATATGTTCAGATATATGTAGGTTATGCAAGGAGTACGAATTCAGCTTCCTCAAAGGATTGTTTGTGAGATAAAGATTCTTGGCCCATAAACCTCTAAATGCATAACTCTCAATTTCTGTGATCTGGTTCCCAGATAGAAAGCTAAAATATGGTAAAAAAGTATCAACGTTAGTAAAATATCTGTCAACTTAACAAACTGTACCGTCCACATGTATAATATAATCTGCTTTTAATAATATATAAAGATTGTTTTAAATAGGTTATTATTTATGGTCATGCCCTTAATATCCCATAACTCTTTCAGAGTGGTTTGTACACGTATTTGTTTTATAACTTTGTTAAAATATTTTGTTAATGTATGTACAAAGATGAGAAATAAACAAATTGTATTGTATATAACCATGTTAAAATCGCCCGGCAAGTTAAACTAGTTATATAATTAATTAAAATAGTTGTTGGAAATATAGTGCATATACCTTTTTTAATGAGTTTATTTAAGGTCGCCGCCGGAAAGCTCATATGGGCGACCGTACACTCAAGTCGGGTCATGCTAGAGCGTCCCGCCGAGATTTTTCGTCGATTTTTTTCCAGCTTTATTGGTCGAGGAAGACCCCAGGTGCCCCTCCGGGCATTATTTCAGGCACGAGCGGGCACCTGGGTAGAACCACCGACCTTCCGTAAGCCGGCTGGATGGCTTCCTCACATGAAAGATTTCGACCCGAGTGAGGATCGAACCTACAGTGATGAGGGACCTGTGATCTCAAGTCAACGACCTTAACCACTCGGCCACGGAGGCCCCCATAATGCATATACCAATTTACTTGATTTCTTATGTAATTAGGATGTTTTCAATTAATGATCCTGTAACTCACTTTTTATGATTTTATATCATAAATATGATGCTCAAATGTAGATTTATCAATTTTGTAAGTTCAAAAAAAAAACAACAACAAAAAACAACATTATTTGTTAAGAAATTACCGAATTTACATATCATATTTATAAAGGGAGGTAATTAGAAATTTGTTTTCGATAAAGCCCACGCCATTTTTTTCCAATATGAAATGAACGCATAGAATATCAGTACATATTAAACATGTTCTTTGATGTTAAGAAATTGTTTAAGAAGAACGATGAAATACAAATATAAAATTTCACTTAAAAGTGTTGTTACATCCATAATTACAAAATACAATATTACATAACATCAACGGCCATAATAATAACAATTGATATTTACTATAATCAAATTATACGCATTAACTTACAATGACTCTCCAAGAACTAAATTTTTAAAATTATCCGTCTCGAGAATATTTATTCTATTATTGGACAGGTCCAGCCAGAGTGAAACAGAGAGGTCGTGAAAGTCACCTCCAGTTGGTAATAAAGTCAGCTTGTTATTTGACAGATCTCTGAAAAATATATATTGTTTGATTTTCATCTTGCATTAAAACACTTATACAAGAACAAGTTGATTTTAGATATTATGTATATTATACGTAATGTACTGGAATCAATGATCACGAAAGACCAGATAAAAACAAACCAACACTAAAAATGTTGGCTTCCCAATTGTTCAGAATAATTACTCGGTGTATTTCTCAAACCATTTTCCTATTGTAATGCATAAAAAAGAAGTTTTCCAGGTTCCTATAGAGCTTCTTGATCAGATTGCATAATTGTACAAGCTGACCTGGAAGCTACATCATCAGATACTCACGACTGATTAACATGTAATACCATTATATTAATGGTTCGGCCGTGAATTTCCGATGATGACCTGGCTCTAAACTAGTAGAAATGCCAATTACTTTCAGTCTCTGCAGAGAAAAACCGCTGACACAACTAATTATGATCTTTCTTCTTTTGTAACAATTATTTGATGCAGAGAATAAGTTAAACAAATTGTTTTAATATAATCTGTTTGGAAGAATAATTAATATGGCCAATAAAGTCACTCTCGGAATGTTGCCTAAATCTCTAATAATATAAAATAGAATTATTCGTACAAGTGTAAAAGAATACGCATTACTTAACCAAACCCACGAATGGATAATAAACACTTTAAACTCTCAAAACTATTTTCAATAAAAATCAAGGAAAAAGAACAAGATGCAGCTTGTTAAAGCTAATTTATGTACGTACAAAAGATTCATGGATGATATATGTGCAAATGTCCCATCTTCTATCCATCCTATGTCATTATTCGCGGCAGAAAAATTCCCGTTCAATGGCGCATCCTCGAAGAAGTTTTTCTTCAGCTGAGCTATGTTGTTATTGCTTAAATACCTAGAAGAAATAAACAGATTTTCCACTGAGAATGTTGTTCACATTAATGTCAAAGCACTAGTACACAATCATGTTAACAAAGCGAATATTTCAACGTTAGGCAGTTACGAAAAGAAAGTGTGTGTTTGTCTCATTACGGGACAAGTTCAAACACTATCATACGTTTTTAAAAGACGATTATTTAAAGCAGTACAAACATAGTTATATATCACAACACAATTTCCTTCTCTTTACTTAGCAAGATCTGTTCTTTTACCCCTTTCTCATTATCTGTTTTTAATACCGCTGGTTCGTAGTTCTTTCAGTACTTTGATTAATACAATTACTCACAAATAACTTATAGTTGTACTTCCCATGAATGCATGGTCTGGTATGTATTGTATTGCATTGTTATGGAGCGTCAAATGGTTCAAACTGGTAAGGTTTTGGAAAGGGTACTTGTGCAGAAATCGAAACTCATTGTTGTTCAGCCTCCTAAAATCATTTTAAATATATGATAAAAAGTATGTAAAATTTACGTAGGTATAGAGAACATTTCTGATTTATTTTTCAGAAATAAAATGTAAGTAACTGATCAATTATAAAAACATTTAACTATACATATTTTGAAAATTTCTTTATAAATTATAAGCTCAAGTAAAATCGACATACACCGTAACTTCCCGTATACATTTATACATTTTTAAAAGCAACTAAGAGGCACATTATGCCTTAGAAATCAATATGTAAAAATGTATTTGATAATGTCTAAATAATGTAATTGGGGCAGGGCATGTTAAATGTTTTACAACAAAAGAAAGTTGTGTCTGACGTGTAATATGTCGTAGAGGTAGAAAAAATGAATACAGTAGTATTGGACTTCCACACAAATTACTTAATCACTATATTAGTTAGTCAGATAAAAGTAATGTGATAAGTAAGTGTAGAACTGGTGCCAGAAATATTTCTCCGTTGTAACGTTTATAGAAAAATGGCGCTACACAGAATAAACGTAAATGGTGTCATATTCTGGATAACATTATTTAAAAAAATATTTATTATGCAAAATATCACCTGTATTGTAAAGATTTATAAATGTAATTATAAATAAAATGACTGACATGTGAACCATTTGCAAATGATTTCATATCTTAATTCATTCGAAGTAAAAACAAAACTTGAAATGGTAATATTGACAACGGTATACTCACAAATGTTTTACGTTTGCTGGAAAAGCATTATTTTCTATAGCTAGGATTCCGTTATGACCCAAGTACCTAGAAAAATAAACGAACTCACCCAGTTGCTTCCATAATTAAAAAAGATAACCCACAACCAGAATGAAAATTGTAATTTCTGGAATTTAAGCACATATGTATGAAAATTGTTTCACATATTTCCAGAAGCCCCTTTCATATTCAACATGCATATTAATAAATATCTCAACGCTAGGCTGAAATCTAACTGTTGAACTTGTATCCTTGTTTTAAGTTTTAATCTATGTTCAATGAACATTTAAATACTTACAAACTTTGCAGTGCTGTTTCTATTCTTCAAGGAATTAATCTTATTAAAATTAAAATCACATTATTATATCACATTATTATATCACATTAAATTATACTACAATTGATGTACATCTACAATTTATACATTTCCATATATTTCGCAGAATATGATGGAGAAGAGGCCTATTTAAATGCTTAAAGTTATTACAATTATCATTCATCAACAATAAAAGCTACATGATACTTTACTTACAGATGTGTAACTGTACTTAAATTAGTAAAATCGCCTGTTTCAATGAATTTTATTTTGTTATAAGCGAGAAGGAGGTATTGTATACTAGGGAGAACTTCTGATGATTTAACTGCATCCGGCACATACTGTATCAAGTTAGCGCCCAAATTTCTGAAGAAAAAAATATATATATCAATCTTTGTCAATAAATCCCGACAATATGCCATACTGTATCTAACAAACTTGACACTATCAATTATCATTTAACGACAAGAAAAAATATGCGGAAAATATTTTTTCTAAGTTGTTAATTTATCTAGCTTATCTTTGGTATTATTAAACAGGCATACCCGAGATTATCTAAAGAGTAATACAGCTATATATCTGGTGTCTTTAGTTCACAAAATCATTACTCAATGGTTAAACGCATTCTTTAAAACGCAGCATGATATTATGTTCCTATTACTTTATTATGTTTACGTACAATATTCACGCATTTCAGATATTTTTTATGAAAACAGCATAATCTTACCATTTATGATCTTTATAAAAAAATTACTTTATATCATATATAGCATTATACCCTTTAACTCTCTTAGCATCTGATGAAATTATATATTTGCAGAATATTTCAACCATCTTAAGATCAGTATTTTGTTCACTTTGCATTAAGGCAATCCGGAATTTTGACGTTTACCATTAGATATAACTATAGATATTACTGTATTTCAACGTAAACTATTGAAGCTTTACGATATTTTAAAATGAAATCTATTAAGGTATTACGGTACTTGTATGCTGACAAAATAATAAATAGTAAAGTAAGTAAAGGACATCATTGTCGAAGTCCTTTCTAATATCAAACATTAGAAGCTACGTAAGAAGGAGGGCATGACATTAATTTGTATCAAATCCAACTGGAAATGTCAGAGGAGAGGACTACTTTAAACAATAGGTCTGACGAGCTAAAATTCATAAATTAATATCAACAAGACGTTACAGAAGGCAGGGTACTTATCTTACAGATAGTAAAGTACTGGAAGACACGCAAAGCAGTCAACATCCATTTTGGATTCACGAATGAAGTTGTCCTCTAGATATAACCATCTAAGATCTTTTAACTCGCATAAATCTGTAGTGTTGATTGTAGTTATCCCATTATCATTAAGCCGTCTGATTAAAAAGAAAAAAAAAATATATTGCTTAACAATTCATTTTAATCAGAAATAAAATTCATCCGTCACTTTTCTTAATCAGACATTAAACACGTCCGTCACGTTTTTTAATCAGACATTAAACACATCCGTCATGTTTTTTAATTAGACATTAAACACATCCGTCACAGTTTTTAATCAGACATTAAACACGTCCGTCACGTTTTTTAATCAGACATTAAACACATCCGTCAGTTTTTTAATCAGACATTAAACACGTCCGTCACGTCTTTTAATCAGACATTTAACACGTCCGTCACGTTTTTAATCAGACATTAAACACAACTGTCACGTTTTTTAATCAGACATTGAACACATCCGTCACTTTTCTTAATCAGACATTAAACACGTCCGTCAGTTTTTTTTTATCAGACATTAACCACGTCCGTCATGTTTTTTAATCAGACATTAAACACGTCCGTCACGTTTTTTAATCAGACATTTAACACATCCGTCACTTTTCTTAATCAGACATTAAACACGTTCGTCACGTTTTTTTTAATCAGACATTATACACGTCCGTCACGTTTTTAATCAGACATTTTACACGTCCGTCAATTCTTTTAATCAGACATTAAACACGTCTGTCACTTTTTTAATCAGACATTAAATTCATCCTTAAGTTTTTTTACCAGAAGTAAAATACACTTTGTATTACTTGTAGTCCGTATTTAGTGAACTTCGTGCATCATTTTTGCTATCAGATTAGTTCAATTGCTCTCCAAAGAAACAAAATCCATTGTCTATTTCAACAAATTTAAATAATCATAACTTTTTTGACATAAATAAATTTGGTAGCACTTTTTCAAGAATAATGCTGTCATATGACCAATTGAATAAAATGTTTGTAGTGAAATGAAGACTATATCTAATAAGATTATACCGAAAGGCAATTATGCTCAATAAACAAACTCAATTTCTTTCTAAAGAAAAGGAAAACATGAGGGTTATAATGTTTAAAAATTAGTTTAAGAGCATGATTTAGATGCTTATTACATGAAGAAAGTATAAACCATGAAATTGTTTTGTCATAAAAGTCGCAAAAAGTAAACAAAGTGTTAGTTTGACTTCTATACGAATTACAAAATAAATTGCAACATAAGCAAAATATAATTCAGTTAATTGGTTTTGGAAATTATAACATGACACCAGAACTTAACAATCTTTTGGGAAATAAACATAAAAGTATTTCTGTGGCATAATGGACATTTAAAGCAACAACAAACATAAATTTACAAATCATGCTTTAAAAAATAAAATGTTTATGTCATACTAATACTGATTTCATCAACAAGCGAGAAAATATTTGAGCCGCGTCACGACAAAAACACCATAATGGGTTTGCGACCAGTACGGATCCAGACCAGCCTGCGCATCCGTGCAGTCTGACCAGGATCCATGCTGTTCGCTTACAGACCCTATAACAAGTAGTGAAACTGATAGCGAACAGCATGGATCCTGATCAGACTGCGCAGATGCGCAGGCTGGTCTGGATCCATACTGGTCGCAAACCCATTATGTTGGTTTTGTCGTGACGTGGCTCATTTATAAGTAATAGATACCTTATTAACAATTTCTTAACTCAATAACAATAAATAACAAACGCAAAGAAAAGTGAATAAAAAGTCTTTCATAATATTTGTTCGAATACATTAATTACATTTTATGAAATATTTGTAATATGTTTAAACCATTGGTCATATAATTACACATTTATTCCTAAGATATCAAATCAAATCATTTAAATTAAATAATCAAGTCATCATTTCAAATCCATCTACTTCGAGATGTTATTCTATAGATACGCATTACATTCAAACTAAAGTCATCCAAAGAAATCAAAAGATAAACGCATCGATTGAATAATCAGTTAATTGAATGATGAAATAGCTAATTACTTACAAATATTGTGTTGCCGGAATAGATGCGAATGGAACAAAGTTGATGAGCCTTTGTCTATGTAGAGAGTACTGGTTTGCTGGGAACGCCTCTTCTCCATATTTTGTCATGTTTCCAATTTGATTAAAGTCAGCATGCCTTAATGTTAAACAGGTGTTAAACACGGTTTAAAATGAGCCGTGTCACGACAAAACCAACATAGTGCGTATGCGAACAGCGTGGATCCTGATCAGACTGCGCGGGAGCGCAGGCTGGTCTGGATCCATGCTGGTCGCAAACCAATTATGTTGGTTTTATCGTGACGCGGCTCAAATTATTGACATGAATGTTAAAGCTACTCTTTTGCCTAACTGATTAATTGCATATAATTATTTACATTTCACATAAATATCTATAATAATTATAGTCGTATGAAAGGAAAATCCAAGTAGAATTGTTTACTTTCCAGTACTCTATTCTTCATGCAGGTCTCTGTATTTCAATTTCAAACCTGTGCGGACATCTTGTTAGGGCCAATGACTTATCGTAAGACAGGTGGTTATTGAAAGATCCCTACTCTGTCTTTTATTTTGAATAACAATAATTTTAACCTCAAATATGAACATGTGCTCGATTACTAACAAATGCATGTTGTGGTGAAATTCTTATTGTATCTAGTAATCTGATACTTAGAATTAGGCAGGTCAGGGATCTATGCATTAGGCTTATCAGCCTCAATATATAGCTGTAAAGCTCTTATATAATAATCTTTATTAAAATTTATCAATACATAACAATATTATAAAAGTTAAATTACAAGATTAAAGCTGTTTGAGTACTGACGGTTTATTCTAAAATGTAATAAAGTGGAAGGGAGGCAACTTCCAAACAAAAAATAATGCAAGGGTTTCCCATCTAACTTAAAGAGTTACCTCTCTTCTCATTCCATATTCATGTTAAATAAGAAACTATTGCTTATTTTTCTTCTGGATGATTTTCTGGTAATATTGCTTTATAATAAACACCCTAGCAATGTCGTCTTATTTCAAACCATTATTATAAAAATTCTTAGACTTATTAGCAACAGATTTGTAATTGTAACGTATAAAATCAATTACTGGATACAATTATATCATATCACTGAAAAGATGAAATAAAAAGAAAAAAGGAGTAAATTAGTAGCAGTTATGTTATTTGCATCGTATATACCATGCGATATCAGTTTTTGCTAACATTATGGTTGCTTTGCTGCTCTGAATTGAAAGTTCGATGCAAAAATGACGTAAACAAGCATTTCTGTACTAAAAAAAATCTTATATTTCGATTCATCTCAAAGAGTAACAACATAGCTAAATACTTAATATAGATTAGGAGAACATGCTCTTCTTGAATTTATTAATAACTAACAGCATTGTTCATGTATAGTTAAAATGTTAAATAAGGGGGGGGGGGGGTGCTTCTTTTAGATTTTATTAATGTCGATCAAAATATTTTACGTCCCGCTTTATTTCACGTATATTCGATAAAAAATGCACTTAAATTAATTTTAGAACATCGCGTTTAGCAATTTTTGTCCACGAACTTGAACGCGCCATAAATATTGCTGTTATTTCAAAATGATTCACTGTTATATAACTTACATCCTTATTAGATTAGGATATGTTGATTCTCCAAGAACTTGGTGTGGAAATGTCAGTAGCTCATTACTGCTGACAAACCTGCAATTAAACACCGGAAAGATAATTAAACACCAGAAAGGCAATAAAACATCGGAAAGGATTACAAATGATTGGTTTATCTGCAAACAGATAACGTAACGGCCTACAAATGGTCCGTCAGTCTGCAAGTTAACAACGGAAAGGATTTCAATTGGCTCATTTAGCTGCAATTAAACACCCGAACAGATTGCCAATGATCTTCCAATTTGCTATTTAACACCGAAAAGGATTACAAATTGCCTGTTACAAGAATATCGTTGTATAATTTCTTCCAATATCAAGTTGACAGTATACAAGAGAGAAGAATTACAAAAAGTTTTTTTTTTATCAAGATTTCGTTGATTTAACTCAATACAGGATTGGAGCAGTACCTTGCAGAAATCATGATCACAAAATAGACAAATATCGTTTTTTCGCCGATTTTTACATTTTTCATTCATTATCATACATACATTGGTTGAATTAGACCTAATAAAGTTCATTCTGTTGGGTAAAAAGGCAAGATTTTAGCATTTTATGATTCAAGCGCCTTGCCCGGTATTTACCTGGTAACGATATTTAGTGTGGTGCTCCAATCCATTTTTTAGTCTCACTCCAGTTTACTGCCATAATTGATATAAATATTGTTATTGTAATTATGATAGTATATAAGTAAGAAAATATTGACCACCCATAATCACTACATTGTTCTTTATTACGGAAATAGTACGATTTTTGACAACATTTTATTTTTCCTTGATGTCAGCGTGAAAGATTACTCCAATTATTGTGACAGACACATTAGGTGTTACAACACAGCAGCAAATCAAATGCAGATTGCGCATGCGTGACACAATTCTACTTCCGGTCGATTTTTCGTAGCAACGGACCGCGTCGTAACAAGCTCGATGTTTCGTGCAATGATGCTTGATATTAGAAATAACAATGATACTGAGTACTCACAGCTCTATAAGATTGTCAATGCCAGACCAAGCATTGTAAGCAATTGACTTCATGGGTGTTTTCTGGGAATGCAGTCGTAGCTCTTTCAGTAATGGAATATTCTCGATAGCTTTACTCGTAAGGTGTTCTATGTTGTTGGCGTGCAGGTCACTTTAAGTAAAAGAAAATATATTTATAAAAAAATCATGCTACATGAATTGAAAAAGTTTAAAAAGAAAACAAATCGTCGATAATAGCCTCGTCAATCATTTTTTATGAACCGGGAACCATGCTAATTCGGCATAATTTGCAAGTTTATTTCTAATGATAAAAGTAACCATTTTAAAAATATTAATAATTTTACTTTGTTTTGTTATAAAGCAAACATAGCAGTAAAACATTGCGTGTACACGCTGTCTGCTCTGTATGAAATAATAATATATATATATATATATATATATATATATATATATATATATATATATATATATATATATATATATATATATATATATATATATATATATATATATATATATATATATATATATACAATGTAAATGATTTTGTTTATAATTTGTTTTTACCACACTTTTATTTCAGCTTCAAGATGCTATATCAAACAAATCAATATAAAAGAAAAGAAACAATACATTAATCACCGAACACGTACAGATGAACAAGGGCATGTAAGTCTTTAAAGATGTTCACGTTAATTGAACTCATCGAATTCTGGTGTAACTCCCTGAAGAAAATAAAAACGTAACGAAATTATTCCTTACATTATCCTTTTTTTTAGTAACATAAGATATTTCTGATATTTCAAAAAATCATGTTTCAGCCTTTAAACTATATAAATTTTGAATTACACTGGCTTTTCTTTTTAACTATGAAGTGATTCAAAAAGATTATGTCAAATGTTATTTTAAAGCCACTTTACAAAACCGATCGAGGTCAAGCATGTAAACTATATATTGCTCTGTATTTTCAGAGAAGCATATACATGTTATTATGTCAAATGTTATTTAGGAATTTATAAATGATGGATATTGCTGTTTTGTTGGCTAAATCACAAAGTAATACTTACAATATCTTCAGTGATGGAAATTGACTAAATGAACCTCCTTGAATGTAAGACAGTCGATTATTGCTCAAATTCCTAAAAGATATAATACAGAAATTAATGAATTATTCAACCCCAACAATAAGTATTGCTTGCACATGACACCAGCCTAACATGAATAAGTTTGTACTCTTTTTTATGATTCAATTTTGTTTTTTCTAGTTCTGGTTTACAAACGGGGATTAAGTTGGAGGGATTCACATCAAGCTGTAATATTTACACCGTATGTATATATGTATTGCCTCTGCAAAATGAAGATATTTACTGATTCATTTCAAAATTATTAGTTCGAATTAAATATTATGTTATTTATAGACGACGTGGTTATGCTCAGGTAAGACAGAAATACAATTATAGAACTTATTTGTTATATTTTAATCTAGTTGAATTATTGAAAATATAAAATATAAAATTTATGTTTACTACAACTATATAAATTTCTGCTATTGAGAAAAACAATTGTTTTAAAAGCCTTTACAGTGTAGTAAAGAAAATATTTAGTTATAGAAAAAATGATATTTCGATGAAAACATACAGTAGCTATGTATTAAAATTATTCAATGTAACTAAAAAAACAAGAAAAGAACTTACAAATGTAAAAAATTGTTTGTTGCTAAGGGGGCAATACTGTTTCTTGATATCCTTTCAATTTGGTTGCCATCCATTCCTCTATAATATATAAAATACTATATAACATTCACTCAATTAAGTTGCCATCCAAACCACTACAACATAAATACACCATTTAACATTCACTTAATAGACCCATACCTCTACAATATAAAATACACCATATAACATTTACTTAACAAAGATGCCATCCATACCTCTACAATACCAATACACCAAATAACATTCACTTAATAAAGATGCCATCCATACCTCTACAATGTATAATACACTATCAAAAATTCACTTAATAAAGATGCCATCCATACCTCTTCAATATCAGTACACCATAAAACATTTACTTAACAAAGATGTCAACCATACCTCTACAATATATAAAACACGATTTAACATTCACTTAATAAAGATGCCATCCATACCTTTACAATGTATAAAACACGATTTAACATTCACTTAACAAAGACGTCAACCATACCTCTACAATATATAAATACAATTTAACATTCACTTAACAAAGACGTCAACCATACCTCTACAATATATAAAACACGATTTAACGTTCACTTAACAAAGACGTCAACCATACCTCTACAATATATAAAACACGATTTAACATTCACTTAACAAAGACGTCAACCATACCTCTACAATATATAAACACAATTTAACATTCACTCAATAAATATGTAATCCATACCTCTACAATATATAAAACACTATATAACATTCACTCAATAAGTATGTCATCCATACCTCTACAATATATAAAACACCATTATATAACATTCACTCAATAAGTATGTCATCCATACTTCTACAATATATAATACACAGTATAAATTCATTCAATAAAATGATATTCTTACCTCTACAATATATAATCCAAACCATTACAACATAAATACACCATATAACATTTACTTAACAAAGATGCCATCCACACCTCTACAATATATAATACACTATATAACATTCACTCAATAAAGATGCTATCCATACCTCTTCAATATATAATACACTGTTTAACATTCACTTAAAAAAGATGCTATCCTTACCTTTACAAAATATAATAGCCTGTATAACATTCACTCAAGAAAAATGCTATCCATACTTCTTCAATATATAATACACTGTTTAACATTCATTTAATAAAAATGCTATCCTTATCTTTACAAAATATAATAGCCTGTATAACATTCACTCAAGAAAATGCTATCCATACCTCTTCAATATATAATACACTGTTTAACATTCATTTAATAAAAATGTTATCCTTACCTTTACAATATATAATAGCCTGTATAACATTCACTCAATAAAATGATATCCATACTTCTTCAATATATAATACACTGTTTAACATTCACTTAATAAAAATGTTATCCTTACCTCTACAAAATATAATAGCCTGTATAACATTCACTCAAGAAAATGCTATCCATACCTCTTCAATATATAATACACTGTTTAACATTCACTTAATAAAGATGCTATCATTACCTCTACAAAATATAATAGCCTGTATAACATTCACTCAATAAAATGATATCCATACCTCTACAATATATAAAACACTATATAACATTCACTCAATAAAGATGCTATCATTACCTCTACAATATACAATACTCAGTACACTATATTTAAATCACTCAACAAAATTTGTCTCAAAATCTCTAGAACATAAAATATTTTATAAATTCATAAATAAACTCTTGATATGATTGTAAGATATACTTTTACCATCTAAAGCGAAGAGGTTTGTGAAAAGTGAATATAATACATTATCTGTTATTATTCAATATTCATTTTGACATTGTCAGAAAACACGAAATAGACAACAATAAAATGTATAAATAAGGATATACTTACAAATACATAAGTCCTGACGTTACATTGAATATTTTTTGCTGAATTTGCGTCAGTCTGTTGTTTCCAAAACTCCTACAAACATGTAATGATAAAATGAAATCATCCATATAATAAACAATACGTTTTCTTTTGACAAATAATGTTTTTCTATATACTTCGAATTTCATAAAACAATGCTGACGTTTATATTATCTATAAACATGGCTACAACTCATATATACATGTATATATGAGCTTTTTTAAAATTTAAATCAAAGAAATGCGCGGATGCGCAGGCTGGTCTGAATCCATGCTGGCCGCAAACCCATTATGTTGGTTTTGTCATGAAAATTATTAACTGATATTATAACTGTTTATTTTAGGCTACAGGCTACAGATTTGGTCAAGAAATAGTTAAAACAACTATAAATAGTATGGTTTTTACTCTTGATTTCTCGACGATTGCGCATATGCGAGTATTACATCCGGTCGTATTGCAAATAATAAACAGGCGCTTGATAAAATGGTATATCTGTGTATGAATTGTCAATTATCCGATGAAGATGACAGTCTCAATACTGGCCCCGTGTTCACTTAGAAAATATCTTGATCAGGATCAAATGATTTGAGCCGCGTCACAACAAAACCAACATATTGGGTTTGCGACCAGCATGGATCCAGACTAGCCTGCGCATCCGCGCAGTCTGATCAGGACCCATGCTGTTAGCTTACCATTCCTATTACAAGTAAAGTAACTGATAGCAAACAGCCTAGATACTGATCAGAATGTGCGGATGTGCAGGCTGGTCTGGTTCCATGCTGGTCGCAAACCCATTATGTTGGATTTGTCGTGACGCGGCTCATTGTTATTCAATTTGGTTTACAAAACTAAAACTGATCGCATTTATTTTGTTAAAATTAAATGGTGCATAAACAAATGTTATAAATTGATGATTTGAAAAGAAACAACTCTTATTTTGGATAAAATTGACAAATAACAAAACAAATACAACAATCGGATCAAAATGAGAATCAATTTTATTGGATCAGCTGTAAAATATCCATATCTTCTAAAATAATGTAATAAAATTTATTTTAAGATATAATAAGCATACTATTTCAAAGTCCAATTTTATCAAGTTAATATTTAATCTACGAGGATATACAATGGAGAATATTTAAACCTGATCTTGATTTTGACTCGTTTATCTTAGTGATCAGGGTGCCTAATAGAATGACAAATACGAGCATTCTGTTTATCAGACATTTCTTAAAAAAATCTTTAAATAAATTGGATTCTTATTTCCAGCAGGGTCTTCACTTCAGCAGACACTAGAGACAGCTATGAGATACAACGGAATCCGGGGACCAGTCCCTAGCTCGTATTGAATAGACCCTTTGGTTCTTTTTCATGCCAAATGTATGGCAATGATACATGCGAGGATAACCTGGGTTTCGTACCAGTAAACCTGTAGGTAGGTAGGAAGCACTTATAGTTTTTGAAAAATCCAAAGGGTGTTACCCAGGATAGAACCCGAAACCTAAGGAGTGACAGTCAGTGGTCTAACCAACTGAGCTATTGCGCCACCTATGGAGTACCTTTATCCAACAAATTAACCAATGAAGCAAAACTAACAAAACATGATTAAAACTTACACAACTCGTAGATTTGGTCCAGAAATCATGTTGTCTGGTATCCAATAGATAAGGTTGTTCGCAAGGTTTCTGAATGATAGAAAATAAAGACATAATAATAGTAAAAAGAAAATATAGGGAGTATATCTGACTGAAATTTAGATGGTTAAATATCGCTCAAGATGGCGGTGTTTTGTTCCTACAAGCCATATGCCATCGAATGTGAAAGTTGTATTGGGAGGATGAAGCTCTGTTGGACCCATATTCGTTTTTGTACCAAATACGGTCCGACAAATGTTGGACCGTATTTGGTACAAAAACGAATATGGTACAAATGTACCATATTCGGTCGAATATGGTACAAATGTACCATATTCGGACCGAATATGGTACAATTTTCGACCGAATATGGTACAAACATTGTACCATATTCGGTTGGAATAAGTTTTTCTATGCTCGCCAAAACGTATTTGGTACATACCAAAAAAACTCATAAAATGAAAATGGCCTACGTATATGGTACATAAATTATGTATTTCTTAATAAATGAAATAGTCTGCCGATGTGTAAACTTTTTTTCAAACTCAAATACATTGTATTAACCTAATATTGGAAGTGACAAAAGTATCATCATCATCATCATCATCATCATCGTCGTCGTCGTCGTCGTCGTCGTCGTCGTCGTCGTCGTCGTCGTCGTAACTAGCAGTAACAGAAACAGCTAACCTAACCACACTTTACATGGATTTTGCTGGTTGTGTAACTGTTTCGCCGGCTAGCTCAGTCGGTTGCGCGTCAGATTGGCACGCAGGCGGCCTGGGTTCGATTCCCGGGCGGGCCAGATACTTTCGTGGAGATTGGTCACGAAATGATTTCTACGGCCATTCTTCCCCTACCGCTGTTTCAAGTAGGGCAGTTGTCAATTACTGGCGAATGTATCTGCTTAGTACTGGTTACTAAGTACTAGTACTCTAAGACTAGAGACGTGCTTGCTCCAGGTAACTCTGTAAAAGTTTGAGGATTATCGCATTTTGGTTATGTTCATAGAGTGTGAACTTGTAAGGGTAAAGGTAGGCGAGCAAATCCATGAAGCGCGCCAGCGCTTCTTGGAAAATTTGATCGTTTAATACCCCTCGGTATTAATGCTTATATTTTAATACATTTTAATAATAATTGGTAGGTTTTGTCCAGATATGATTGCTTTAAGCAAACGTAATTTAATGTGATAATTGATGTGATGATGATGATGATGATGATGATGATAACAAAAGTATTTTGATGATTATGACAGCGATGTTTATCGGTCGATGATGATTATTATAATGATGATGATTATGATGACAAATGTGTTTTGATGATGCTGACGGCGATTTTTATCGGTAGATTATGATGATGATGATGTGCTGACCGTCGTTATCATCATTACAAAACTTTTGTCATCATCATCACCATCGACCGAAAAACATCGCAGTTATCATCATCACATTTTTGTGATCTTCATTACGATGATGATAATGGTGATGATGATGATGGTGTTGATGATGATGATGACCTTGATGATTGTGGTGATAATGATGGTGATGATGATGACAATGATGATAAAAATTGTGATGATGATGATGACGGTAATTTTGATCGTCGTCATCATCATCAAAACTTTTGTCATCATCATGACGATGATGATGATAATGGCGTTAATGGTGACGATGATGATGATGGTGTTAATGGTGACGATGATGATGTAATTGATGATGATGACAATGGTGATGATGATTGGGGTTTGATGATTGTGATGATGATAACTGCGATGTTTATCGGCCGATGATAATGATTATAATGATGATGAAGAAAAAAGTTTTTTATTATGTTGACGCCAATGATTACTGGCCGCCGATGATGATGATTATGATGATGATGCTGATGATGATGATGATGATGATGATGATGACGATGATGATTATTTTCATGATGGTATTGATGACGTTGATGCAAATTGTAGTTATGATGATGATGATGATGACGATGATGATTATTTTCATGATGGTATTGATGACGTTGATGCAAATTGTAGTTATGATGATGATGATGATGATGATGATGATGATGATGATGACGATGATGATGATGACGATGACGATGATGATGGTGATGATGATGATGATGATGATGAGATGATGATGAGATGACGATGATGATTATTTTCATGATGGTATTGATGACGTTGATGCAAATTGTAGTTATGATGATGATGATGATGATGGTGATGATGATGATGATGATGATGATAATGATAATGATGATGGTGGTGATGATGATGAGATAACGATGATGATGATGATGATGATGACGATGATGAGTGTGTACCATATTCGGAACGAATGTGGTACATTTTTCATCCGAATATGGTACAAGTTTGTACCATATTTGGTCAGGCATTTTACCCCAAAACTGCAGATACGTATATGGTACAATTAGACAGTTGTACCATATTCGGCCGAATATGGTACAAATTTGTACCATATTCGTTTTTGTACCAAATACGGTCCGACAAAGCTCTGCATCAAACTTTAAAAAGACAATATTAAGATATCCAGCTGAACTTTAAATACATATTAGCCAGTTTATATATGTTGCATTTAACTGGACAAATAAGCTTATTTCGAGTCAATTTCCACTGCGAGATTCACATCCGTTTGGGATAATATATACTTTAATGTGAGAAAACTATTTATATAGCTTGCAGGTGGTTGTTTGACTTTAAAACAAAGTCAACTAATGTCTGAAATATTATACTATTGGAGCCCTGTAGTCTCCTTCAACCAGCAAAGCTTACAAAGTCACTATGTGAACTTACCAGTTTCGATGTGATTTGAACTCGGCTATAAATAAATATCGGGATTAGCACTTAGAGAAAGACGAGAATAAAGATCAACAAGGCAAAGGCAACGTTCACAGGACGCAACCCCTGACACAACCAAGTTATCTCAGCAGGACATGCAGAAGGCACCAAACCAAAACCGACGAAGCAAGACAGAAGACGAATATAAGAACATTGTCACTTTGAAGTCATCATCATGATTTAATCATCAGCCATGCTATTAAGCTACAGCTGGTCGTAAAATCAACGTTTAAAAGGTATTTATCTACTTTGACAACATGGATGGTAAGTCACAATTAAACTCCAGGTACTTGTATTATACTTACATTCTAGTAATAGTCTCTGGAAATTGCCAGCCCTGATGGTTATTAGTGTCTATTGATATTCTGTTCCCAGCTAGGTTTCTGGAACACAACAAAAAGGTATGGTTACATCTAATTCTCGGTTAATGAAATTAATAAAATAAAGATAAAAGATAATAATATGAGCCGCGTCACGACAAAACCAACAGAATTGGTTTGCGACCAGCATGGATCCAGATCAGCCTTCGCATCCGCGCAGTCTGATCAGGATCCATGCTGTTCGCTTACAAACCTTATTATAAGTTGAGGGTCTGTAAGCGGACAGCATGGATCCTGATCAGCCTGCGGGGATGCGCAGGCTGGTCTGGATCCATGCTGATCGCAAACGCACCATGCTGGTTTTGTCGCTCATATGAAGATTGTTTATCATTTCTTCTAATACATCTAACAGAAAAGTTACAAGTTCAAATAAATATTAAAGTAGCAGCTTTCAAGAATTATTTGCATTATCTTTAATGTTTATAAAAAACCCAAAACATATCAAATATGTATATAAATTACGTCTACAAAAGCAAATTTGGTCGGGTATATTTTTTTCTGACTTACAGAATATCAATGGCCGTGTTGGACAGATCCGGAACATGATTTAAGCCTGTGCCTTGAACCATCCTGAAAAAAAGAAGAAAAACAACCATCTGTTTCACTTTCAAACATTTCTTTAAAAAAATAGTATTACGTTTGTATGTGCATTCCTAATAAGAATATTTTCCCTGTTATCAAGTTGTACACATAGAATCGAAAGCCTATTCTAGAAGTTTGAATATTGTTTTATGTTGATAAATATAAAAATACATTGTACAGTATTTGCAATGAGATAACTGTACCACTAATTGTGAAACATTTTAAAGCAACAAAAACTCAAACGATTTTAGCAACAACAACAACAAAGTGAAGGTCTTATAGATGTTTGTTTTTGGAAGACTATAATGAAGCTCTTGTGGTATTAGACATATTTCTAAGTGTATATAAAATTCGAAATTTAATTAGATGTTCAATATATATTAAAGATATTCTTTTTTCACATGTCCATTTTGAAAAATGATCAATTCACTTTCTGCGTTAAAAAGTTTCTGTTCCACCGTGTAAAATATTGTTTTGCAGTTTGATATTATTTCGTATGAATAATCAAACAATCTAAGTACGTTCCTTGCACATCATTACCTTTTTTCAACGAAATAACAAAGTTCACTTACATGTAGGTAAGTTGTGTTAAATTCTCAAATGTCCTGTCTTCAAATGTTGTAAACCCTCCACAATTCCACATTTGTCTGACAAAAATGATAATTTTTAACATATATATTTTTTTATAAAGTGTTTAAAAATAAGCAGCCAAGTTGTTGCTTATTAACGCTCTGATTTCTTATTGTGAATTTATATATCCCTTTTTTTGTTGCAGGTTGGGCTTAGTGTCAGCATTTGTGTTTGATATACTAGTATACATGTACATTACTGACAATGCAATCATTTCTTAACATAAATAACAAAGGACATACAAGCATACTAGATAAAGTGTGTATGGAAACAAACCATTATTGCTATTATTACGGTTTATTGAAAATAAAATAAAACAAGAATGTGATCTGGTGCCCATTGTACTGAACTAACAGTTATGTACGAGTAATACAATGACGGTACAATGAAACGTTGTATTTTTTCATGAGTAGTAAAACGTTTTTATAATAATGAGAGATACCAGTAATATTTGAACAATGATAGAAATAAGAAGTTACATGGTCCGTGTTGACTCTGAAAACGTCCCAGCTGTGATGTTCGGTATCGGCAGATTAGCTAAGATTCTGAAAAATATATTTGTATTGATGAAATTTGACAAATAAAATGTAATATGTAAGATTTAAACAATTAAACATGTTTGACATTAAAAAATGTACATACTGCATATATTCTGATTTCATGAAATCAAATTATTCAAAATTAAAAGTAAATATATATATTAAACATCAATATTCATTGACAAAAGTAGATGACTACCCCATTATTTTTCTCATTGTTCTTTTCCCCAAGTGTTAGATTTACCTAGCAGAAGATACCTCGGCCTACGGTAAAAAACATTTGAGCCGCTTAATGACAAAACCAACATAATGGGTTTGCGACCAGCATGGATCCAGACTAGCCTGCGCATCCACGCAGTCTGATCAGGATTCATGCTGTTCGCTATCAGTTTCTCTACATGTTATAGAGTTGTAAGCGAACAACATGGATCCTGGTCAGACTACGCGGATGCGCAGACTAGTCTGGATCCACCCATTATGTTGAGATCGGTCTCCTAGCTCAGAAACGAGATCTGTGCTCAAAATGCTTATAACCATTGAGCTAGTTGTATTCCTAGCTTAGCACTTACAAGTAATATTTGAGGCATTTTTAAAGACAATTGTTGTACATAATTTTAAAAAGTAGCTACTTCACATGCAGTAGTAAATTAGAAAATTATGTCCGCCATCAGTCAATATACTTGAATAAACTTCATTACGAGTTCGGTTAATTTCGGGATTAAGCAGACATGCTAAGTTAACAGCATGAACACTGTTCTAAATTAGTTAAAAATGGATGTTTGCGTGAAATATGAGCACAAACAGGAATAAGAAATATGACTCGCTTAAAACTTCAGCTACTCAGTTTCTTAAAACACGTAAAAAGCATCGTTTAAAATCGTTTACAAATCTAGTCTGGTTCCCAGCTTCTATTGTAAACAAATAGACAAAGGGCAGGTAATCCAGACTATTACAAATCCAGCTTCACTTTATCAAGTATCTATTTAAAAGCCATCAGCAAGCAATAAAGATGTATCGAGATGTCTAAATATATGGCTGGGAAGATAATGAGTAAAACATGACACTTTTGATATTCACGCAAAATAAAGATCACAAAAATTTAACAAATTAGCTTTGCACTTTTAAAATACAATCATGTATAATATTACCATAGCAATGATTCAATAAGTTGTTTTATCTGTCAAATATCAAAAACATTGTATGACGTAGGGATATAATACATACACGGCAGTTCCTGTACATGACGTAATCAACCCTTTTTTATATGTACATCCGGAATAGATTTCAGTTCCGTACGGATTAGTGATAAGATATCCATCTGTATCAGAATACATGCCATGGTTACCATCCTCTGTAAGTATAGAAAATGTCTGAATGAAATGTCTTTATCTTCACATATAATTTTATGTGAAGTTAAACGCTAGTTGCTGTAAGTCAAATTCCTAGTGTCAATGTCATATGGCCCATTTTAATAGACGACGTAACAGACGACAATAACATAAAACTACTGTTTCTCTATTGCATGTTACAAAAATTATAAATATACATGAATTGAAACAAGTTTATTAAGGTACCTTTGCTTTTACAGAAACCAGAGAAAACTCACTTTTGATAGAACCAATCGATAACAAAGAGAGAAACCCTTCCGCTGAGAAACCAAAAGTAAGGTGTTTGCAATTTTAAAAAATACAATTTTGACTATTTGTCAGAAGTTAATATATACATGAATGCATGTAATATTCATTATCGAACCACTGCCTCATTTCAGCCCACAGAACATGCGCTTTTACAGAAACCAGAGAAAACTCACTTTTGATAGGAACAATCGATAACAAAGAGAGAAACCCTACCGCTGAGAAACCAAAAGTAAGGTGTTTGTAATTTTAAAAAATACAAATTTGACTATTTGTCAGAAGTTAATATATACATGAATGCATGTAATATTCATTATCGAACCACTGCCTCATTTCAGCCCACAGAACATGCCGAGGCTATGTATTAACAGTGATAGAAAAACAGACATTTTTCTAAGAAAGATATATCAAAGTATTCTAGTGATCCGTAATATACTTCTTTTTCACACGACATACAACCTTTTAACACACTGAATTGGTCTATTGCCGATTAAATTTGAGCAAGAATGACTTTATGTCAGTAGATTTCAGAAAGATACCAGTATCGATACGCAGCGTTAACATGTTAACATTTAAGGAATATCCGAATCAATGGCAGAGTGTTTCTTTAATGTCAACTTTACTGAATTTAAAATCACTCTATTGCGACAGAAAAGAACGAAGTGTTTTTTCTACTCATGAAAGTAATTTTCAAACCGGGGTTCATATTTATTATAAAAAGATGTTACAAGAGTTAATGAGAGATATAAATTTTATTGACAAAATTTGAGTTTTTTTCATAACTCTACATGTTATACATATCATGCTATCTTTAAGTATTCAAACTCAATCATTTCTGAGAGCGACGAAAATTGAGTGGTTTACTTATACATAAAAATACATTCATACCGTTTCCTTTTTTATGTTTTTGCTGATTTAGTTTTTTTTAAAATTTAGTTCATTATCATTATCATGATTATTTATTATTATTATTATATTTATTATTATTATACTATTATTGTTATTATTCATTATTATTATTATTATTATTATTTTTATTATTATTATTATTCTAAAGAAGTTCAGCGCAGTACAATGATAATGATCTTCAGTTTTATATAGTTGTATATATGTTGAAACAATATATAACTGAGGACTGCAGTTGATTTCTTCTTTAATGGAGAAAATAAAGAAATTACTTAATATTTACCAAATCAACGACTATGCCAATAAGTTGGTTTAAGAATTAAAGTTTTAAAAATAGTATATATCTTTTTGTAATTACATTGGTTTTTGTATTCAATGCTATCCTTTATACTAAAGCAATATGATTGACAAATATACAATGTGACATAAAATTATTGCCATAATATGATTATTAATACCAATTACCGACGGATCTAAAAACATTTGACCCTGAGTATGGGGACCAAGTTGACATTGTGTGCTTAAAATATATTGTTAAATATTATCTCTTTATGAAAAAATACAGACGATTTTTCTTTTAAACATGATTATAATCAAGTCAATTTCAAGTTAAGGTCTAGTTTTTTTATAATTATTTTAGATTTTGTGAATTGTATTTTTAATATTATGAATTATGGTTGATCCTTGCGGATCAGGTGAATTATAGTTAATTCCTTAAACTCATATGAGGCGAATTTCGGACAAGGTGGAACTGTCCTTATTTTTCTTTTCTGTCCAGGTGAATAATGGTATATCTCTTCAAACAAGTTTGATAAGGGTAGATTATTTCAGGCTAGCCCCCCTCACACAATGTTATATATGTAGAATTGATTTTCTATTCCTTGAACCAGGCAAATTATTGTAGAGGCCTCCAGACAAGGTGAATTATGTTAGAGGTCTCCTATGGTTTAAAGTGGAAAGGTCTATGTTCACTGGGCACACATTCATCATTAATATTTCAAATAATGATTTTGTATTTTCTTATAAAATGCTGTTTAAGTGTTGATTAAGTTCTAAGTGATTTAGAATGATAATTTATCTGATGAATAATTATGTTTTGTTCTACTGTATTATGTAATATTATCTTACACTTGGGAAAAACTTTTCCAGTTTGTTATTATATGTTATAGTAAATACTATCAACGTAATTGAGCCGCGTCATGACAAAACCAACGTAATGCATTTGCGACCAGCATGCTCATCCGCGTAGTCTGATAAGGATCCATGATGTTTGCTATCAGTTTCTCTACTTGTAAAAGAGTTGGTAAGCGAACAGCATGTATCCTGATCAGACTGCGCGGATGCGCATGCTGGTCTGGATCCATGCTGGTCGCAAACCCATTATGTTGGTTTTGTCATTAAGCGGCTCAATTATTCTTTGTATTACAGACCTTCCATTAAAAACCAATTTACTTTAAATCTTAAGACCATGAGAATCACTAAAGAATCTGCGACTTTTTGATGTGCGCTAAAACTTAAGCCTAAATACGCGCTCATAACCATACCTTGTACGCCTATTTACGCATATAAAGTCTTCAAAATTATGTATTTCATATCAGTTTTTTGGGGGTATTTTTTTCATCATTCGTTGTTAATATCTTATCAGTTCACGTGCCACTATTGTACCTCTCTTTTATAAATAATTTCAATTTAAATAGTAAATGGGTATGCGTTTAATACTAGTGAATATAAGATAATCCCGACATTTTATCAGAGAATTAAGTTTTCACCTATTAAAGATCATATGAAGTAATCCCTTTATCACATAATTGATACAATTGCTTACATTGAATATATTTTAGTTCGGTATGGTGGCTGATTTGGTACGCCTTTGTGCGTCGCGTTGGCGCTAGGGACAACACGACAAAGCGCCAAACGGCGCATTTTCGCGCTGTCGTCTTGTTGTCCTGTCGCTAACGATAAACGCCAGACAGCGCGTTGATGTGCGGCGTGTTGTCGAGATGTAACATTTTCGCTCGGTTCAAATTGAAGGATTGGCTTATAAGCCAAGCGACAGGGCGAACACACCGTGACATCGCGCCGCACAACAACGTGTCGTCTGGCGTGCCACGCTAGAGACAGGACGACAAGACGACAGCGCGACAACGCGCCGTTTCATGCTTTGTCGTGTTGTCGCTAACGACAGGACGACAAGACGAAAGTCCGATAACGAGCCGTTCAGCGCTTTGTCGTGTTGTCGCAACTAGACACACAAAAGCGTACCATATCAGCAACTATGGTTCAGAGTACATCCTCAATCTGAAGCATTTGCATTCAATTTCTCAAAAAATAATGAACGAAAAGGTTAACCAACGTCGTTATCGATAAGATAGCCATGACAAAATTAGAGCTTAAAAATTGAGCTTAAGAAGCAGGGAGTGGGGACACTGATGCGTGCTACATGTACGACATTCTTTTCACAAAATAAATTTACTAATTACTTTTTAAAAGAGTGATAGTCTGTAGAAAAATACAGACATTAGGTATCAATGTTTTATCAAAAGTTCGGTACAGAAAAATGTGAAGTTTGCTCTCGCGTATTTAAGGACAAAACATTCTTTTTTTCTAACTAACCATGATGATCGGCCAAGATTAATCAAAGGATATTTTTTAAATATTTCAAACATTTTGTTACGACTACGCTGTTTCAAACTGATATCTTGAATTAATTTATCTCTAATAATCTTTAAAAACTACAAAATGCTCTTTCGAACGCCAAAGTTGCCTTCTATACACACTATAGCAAATATTATGTTTTGTTGTTATAAATAATCAATTTAGGTGTTGGGTTTGACAAACATAATTTCTTTAGTTTTAAGAATTTTTGGAGTTCCACACCTCAAGTGCCTGTGGCCTAACCCCATTGTCTTCAGTTTTACTTCAGTCCATGTATATATGTTTTTTTCTTTATATAAATTTGTGTTGTGAAATGAAGTGGTCATTTTACTTTATTTAGTACACTACTAATAATATTTGACTCCATCTTTAAAAACCTATATTGGGCGAAGTGCTTGCTACAGAAATGTATAATAACCTCATGTTATCAGTAAAATTTAATCTTATGTTCAACGACATTATTTTTTTTTCTACTTACACTTAACATGAATTTTATTTTCAGCTTGGACCTATTTTATCATCAGGCAGAGTTATTCATAATTCTACAAGTAGATAATATTTTAAATTAGCAGTATCTATCTCTATATTCATGCAGAATCATTATGTATTCAGCAAAATATATTGTGTGGAAAGGACCTTTATAAGCATTTCATGATACCGGATCTATTATGTTCTTCACTATACAAGAAGATATAACCTTTGTTAAAATTGGTTTCTATTAGTTACTCTTTACTTAACATGATTAGTTTCTATATTTGGCGAAATTTATTATGTTATCAGAAAAATGGGTTTAAACCCCGTCAGGGAGAGCCGTTGCTTCCACTGGCAAGGAAGTTGTACTGATTGGATCAAGGATCGGATTCGAGAGTATTTCAATAAGCATATAGCTTCAAACACAATCAAACCAAAACAAATTAAACTTAACATTCATAAAAATGGTATCTACGCTCAGTGATTTACTATCATGATATAATTATGATTTACAATAATTTTTTACAAATTTTATGATTTTAAACATTACAGAAAAATGTGCAGTGCTAAAGATATTTGGGAAATAACATACCCGCATTATAACTTATTCCATCTGAGCCGTATCTACTGTTATAGTAATCCTGTGCTTTCCACGCACATGCAGAATCCAACAACACGTGCAGTAAGATAAATTTCACAAGTATATACATAGTTGTATTTGAATAAATAGGATTTTCACTTTTGACATATTCTAATCGCTAGAAATTCCATTTTGTAAATTTTGAAATCAGTTTATGCTACACCTTTCGTTATCTGTAAAGTCAAGTAATTGTATGATTGATGTATCTTTATATCAATAAATCAAGCTAAAACTATAATAAATTCAAATTTAAAAGGAAGATTTTTTCTCTCATTTTTTTTTGTAATACGTAAAATTCTCTTTGAAACGACACTTAAGATTAGAACATTTATTAGCATATGATCTAATACTACTTGATGCGTGTGTTTGATCTATTTAGAGGAAATGGGCGAGTTTAATATATATATATATATATATGTTCCCTTTAAACAAAATGATTATAGATTTAACAAAGCAAACTTATGGGTTAAACCATAACAGAAATTATAGAAACCCCTTTTTAAATAATGCGGTTGGTCCAAAGTCATTATCGTTCAATATAAAGCGGACGAGCGCACTGCATGTCGAGTCAATTTAATATTTGGGAAATTAAAAAATCGTTTCGAAATCTTTCACGCATTGTGTCGATAATCATTTTAATTTGTTCAAATTTACGCAGATTTCTATTAAAACATAAAAATAAATATAAGTACCTATACTTATTATAAAAAATTATACTGATAAGAGTATAACATTTTTAAGTGACTATCACTTCAATCAACGATACCATAATTAAGAGAGGTATGACATTGGTGAATGTAGAATGATTATGGAAAATTGACGCGATTTCTCAAATATTACATAGTATGAAACAAATGACCTTCAATTTAAAACAGTAATTTTCTTGTTTAAAATGTTCTTCCTAATAACAATTTGTATAATATGTATATAGATAAGATTGATCCACTTTTACAAATATCAGTCATCTATTTTTGAATTATTAATTTGCATTTTTCTTTAACTGATCAAGCAAACTATTAAAAGGTAAAGTATCATTCTTTGAACATTTCATTTTATATAATAACTGACTCATCTCTCATTAAAGACGACGGTAAAAATATATTTGACTTTGTGTTTTATTGTACAAAACAAAACAGAACACAACATACATATTTATTTAGCAAACACAAATTACAAATTACAGATTATGAAATTTTACAATAACATTACACATAAATACACTTAGAAAAACTGCCACTGGATTGGTCAATTATTTGTTCAGAATGAAAAAGGAAACATTAAAAATCAATTAGAATAGTTTGCCTTAATGGTATTTTAACTGTTTTAATTTAGAGAATAGTATCGAAAAGAGTATTCTTAACTATATCTTTTATACTGTATTTATGCTACTTGTAAACAAAAATTAAGAAAAAATAACTGGCGTAAATAAAAGCCGAACTGTATATTGTCATATTTGAAGTGAATCAAATAATAACATTTTCTTTCCTGTTATACCTTATCATTGTTTTAGTTAAACTCGTGTTTATTCTCATTTGTAAAATTCGTTACATTTTTAAGATAGAAATGGAATTTCAGTTTAATAATCACACAAACTTTGACTTGATTGTATCAGATGTTTAAGAAAGAACGAAAATTAGGTGACCTCAAATTTACACCTAATTTAGATAATTATCGAATAATGGTTTGTGTATAAATAGGTGAATGACAAAGGCGCTGTAGCGGAAATCATAATGCACATTGACTTTTAACTTAAAATTCGTCGAGTCAGATATGCTGTTGTTTAAAGACATTTTCTAAGTTTTATGAAAAATTAATCCTTTCATAGAATTTTCTAAATTTTTTGTATGATGAGTAAAATCTAATGACGAATTTAAAAATAAAAAGAAAAATATATGTTGACGTGTTGGATTTCTTGTAAAATGGCAGTTTCCATGGTAACCGTATATCTAAAAACTGTCAAAATAGCCTAACTGTGTTATAACGAATAGAAAATGTATAAGATAGCTTAAAACACACAACGAGCATTGTTTTATGCAAAGATAACCTTATCTAATGATTCTGTATGAAACAAATGATAATCTGAACATATTTCTTTAAAAAATGAGTTTTCCATGTTCCTCAACTGAACACAAAATGAGAGAAATAAACATGAATTCTCAGAATAATTAGAGATATTGAAAAAAGTGTTTCATAGGATTTTCTAATTTTTTTGTATGTTGTGTAAAATTTAATGACAAATTCATAAAGAAAAAGAAAAATATATGTTGGCGTGCGGGTTTTTTTAAAAATGGCAGTTTCCATGGTAACCGTATAATTATCTCAAAATTGTCAAAATAGCCAAACTGTGTTATATTAATGTATAAAATAGCGTATTACACTCACAATAAACATAATTTTATACAAAGCTTGCTTTATCTTAGGGTTCTGTATAAAACAAACGATAATTTGAACATATTTCTTTAAAAAATGAGTTTTCATGCTTTTTAACTAATCAAAAAATGAGAAAAATAATCATGAATTCTGTAAAAAATTAAAGCTATCAAGAAATTTCTTTTATAGAATTTTCTACATTATTGAAATATCAAGTAACATTTGATGGTGGATTCAAAAATAGACATAAAATATATATGTTGACGTGTAAGTTTTTTGTAAACGGGCAGTTTCCATTGTTACCGCATATGCCAACTGTCAAAATTACCGCGCTTTCTTAAGAAATATCAGTGTTATACTAAATGTATTGTCAAATATACAACAAAAACATGTTGCAATAATTTTTTTTTCTTTTGATGTTATATTAAGTAAATGATACTGACTATTTTTTAAAACATATCTAGGGCAATATTATTTTTTTCACTCGACTAACATACCCGAACAGTAAGCAAGTATTCAGAAATTTACAAAGAAAATAATGAAATTCGGAACATTTCTTGGATATTAATTTTGTTTTTTTTATTCAACACTTTTAAAATTATCATTTTAAACTTCTTTGCCCAGTTGTCTGCCAGTAATCAAGTCGCAACGCACTTTCGTCACTATACCACAAGTGGGTGGGGTAACGCGCGCAGAATTATCATCAATGATGTCGTACTAATGCTTGGAGAAATCCTTTATGTGATGTTGTCTAAACGACCTCTTATTCTTTTGAACCGATCTCCTTTTGAACATTTAGAAATATCTATTCTGTATTATTTACTCATTATTTGCTTATAGCCGAAATTTAAACACTTATCCGAATACTATTCAACTTGACCTTCATTTTTGAAGAGTAATTATCCGTGATTATCTTTCTTGGAAGCGCATAACGATGCGCACAGAAAACTACGGTAACCGAAAACGTCTTTAAATGCTACATAGTAGCACTGAAGTGGAAATTAAATTATTTGTTTAAAAACAACTCCAGACATATCCTTGACAGAATTCGGACGATCATTGAGTCAATATAAGCTGTAATAAAATTTTACTTGACTATATGTATTAGATGAATATAATAGCACATAAATGACATAATGTTTGAATACGCGCTTAAATTTAGGCTCTCTATAGCGTTCCATAAATGCTCGCACGTTAATCTTTTCTTTAGTTTTTTTGCACACGTTGTACATCAGAACTGACTTTTTCTTCTTTAAAAAAAAAAGATTTTTAATTGTTTTGAAGCGTGTTAGATACTAATCACCGGAACATAGTAGCACGAAAGGGAAAATAATTTGTTTATAAAACTAGCAAAATGTAAAGAAAGAAGTTTTTTGACTTCCATACAAAATACTTAATCACAATAACTGCACTATAATTGAAAAAATATAAACAAAAACAATAAATAGTTTAGGTATTGGCCAATTAGTAATTTTAAGTTTTAACATTAGTTACATTAGCATTCTCTACTTTTGCAAAAATCGTTTATGACAATTGTGGAACTTCCTTTGCATAATAAATATCTATATTCGTTCATTGAATTGCCCTTTCAGCCTTATTTTAAACTAGTTTATGTATACAAAAAAGTTTCTTCGTCATCATTTGAAGTACAATAAGACCTCAAAAGGAGCTCCACTGGGGTCAAAAAGCATAACATAAGTTTCTAACATATATTGAGTGAGCACTTAAGGTGTATCAAATGGCAAAGAAAAAAAAATAAAAGAAAAAAAAGTTAAAGAAATGTGCTCAGAATGACATTGAAATTTGATTTTGTGTTTGATTCTAAGCCCGATATTTTTATTTTTAGGTTATTTTGCACAATAAAATACCGCCTCTGTGGTCGAGGGGTTAGAGTCGATGGCTTCTAATCCAGTTACCTCTCTGGCGTGGGTTCGATCCCCGGGAGTGCTTTGGTAGTTTAGCTCGGAGGAAGGTAGTCTAATACTGGTGTAACTCTCCAGGAACGATGGTAAGGAAACTACCCGCCTATATGACTGAAATACCGTTGGGAAAAGGCGTAAAATGAAACAAACAAACAAACAAACAAACAAATTGCACAATAAAAATGATGATTCTGGAAAAAATGGGAAGAAGGAAAGATCTGAAAATTTGCACACATACTATTGGACCAGACCTATTTAGCCATATAACGTATGCTCCAACGATAAAGTTGTTCACTTTCTTTTATGGCAATATCACACCACAAAGTGTAAGAGCTCCTGATATCAATATATATATATATATATATATATATATATATATATATATATATATATATATATATATATATATATATATATATATATATATATATATATATATATATATATATATTTTTTTTTTTTTTTTTTAATGTACACAGCTCGTAGGGCCTCCGATTACCGATCAGACAGTCTGCAAATATTTAACGGACAGAAACCGGACGCTGAGGCTCTTTCAATGTTCAGGATTGGCTGGGAGATCACTATATTGCTATGAGACCCCATGTGCTGAGAACTTTTTCAGATTTTTCCAAAGCACGACGCCAAAAAGATTTGTATGAGGTATCAAATTGAACTTCATAGATGGACAGATCGCATGCACGAGAAGTGCATAGTCCTATAAATATGACGTCGCTTTGAGATATTTTTGCTTCTGGGCAAAGCAACGTCATATCGAAATTGATCAAAAACCCATAGCATGTTCCGCCAGAAAATCGGGCGGAACGAAAAACAATGAAGACAGCGTGTATTTACCTAAATTTTGACCTATTTATGAACAAAACTAAAAAATAAATACCTTTTGTCAAAATAATTAAACTGTCACATCCAAAAAATCATGATTAAATCCTCTCATGTATTTAAATTCCTTTTACAGCCTATAAACACATGGCGGCCATAAAGTGCGCGAAATCTGATTGGCTAATTCAAATGCAAGCGTTTAACTGAGTCAGAACAATCTAACGGAATATTCTTTTAACGAAATAATTGACCATGCACTATCAGTGTGTTTGAATATATTTTCCGTTCAAAAATTTGAAATCAATCTGTAAAGCACCTTGTTTAACCAGTATGGTTGATAGACAAAAATAGATTGATGTTTATATTTCATTTTAAATTGATAAGTTCATTGTTTGAGAGTTTTTGTGTATGATTGAGCATGAAATTGAAAGAAAAGAAGATAAGCTTTTGAATAAAACTTGAAAGGCAAGACAATAGACATTTTTTGAATTTTTTATGATGCTATGCGTTTTTGAGCAATAACTATTAGACGTCAGGCTTGACCGACATAAACTATAACAAGCCTGTAACGTCTAATATATTGGACTGGAGAAGTGCAATGCGCAAGAATGATAACCCCACCTTTCATGGTTCTAAATTGTTACCCTTATTTATTTCTTTTTTTCACTTTTTTACCGAAGCATAACTCGAAAACAATCCACATCAAAATCCTATCATACACCATCTCGCCTTTTTTCATATTCCGTGTTCAAAAATCTACATTGTACACTGGTTATCCACGTTTTTATTTTCTCGTACACATTGTTGAACACAATTCTGAATATATTGAACTAGTACATGTCTGCCAAACGAGACGCGATAGGTTTTACATTTGTATGTACCCCTCTAAAATATTCAGTAATATACCCAGCAATGTATAATACATGCAACATCATGGCGCTCAGACGGTCACTTTACTTTTTGGTCGTCGTCGTGAATATTCTAAGATTTAAGGCCCTGTCACCCGCCACACGGATATAAATAAAGAAAGAACACATTTATATAAGGTATTATATTACAGAATAGTATGTCAGATGCTTGCTATGCATGCAAACTTACAAAAACTACCTACAAAAAATATCAACTTATTTAATACATAGAGGATATTGAATGAGTGTAGGTTCAATACAGAGTTTAATGAACGAGTTGAATAAAATTATGTTATGCGAGCCTGTGACGAGCATGGTACTATTTTATTCAACGAGTTCAATAAATTTTGTATTGTACCTAAACGAATATAATATATCTTTTTAATAACATACCCAAAATAAAGATTGTTTAATATGCAAAATTATCATTTTTATACCGTTTTAACGGAGTCGCAAAATCGGCAAAACATTAGGTTTGTTTAACGCAAATGACGTCACGTCAAAATAGCTACACGACCGTGCGATACCGTTCTCACGAAGTCGCAAAATTGGCACGGGTATGTTTTAAACATATATATAAAACTTAAAATAAAAAAAAAAGAAAAGAAAATACAGAATGGTCTTATGACACTAAAGTGCTAAAGTGACCGATAATGTGATATGAGATTCGAAGTGCAGTGTGCTTTTTCTTATATTATACGACACTGTACAAGAACATAAAAGTAAAAAAATAACCAGAAAGAAAATCATATTGTTTCAATAGCAAAATTTCTAGTAAAAATATACCGGAAATTATTATCAGCCAGCTTATATATGTAAAATAGTCCATGTGGTTATACGCCGCTAAATTTCAGCACAAACACGTGATAGTGGCGCCCAGGCGATCCGCTGACGTCATCGTGAATATTATAAAGTATGAGATATAAGAAATACTATGCGCAAATTTGATATCTAAAAATATTGGCAATTGCAACACGGTCCTTTTGTAATTAGGGTCCTTTTGAAATTAGGGCCTATAAATTAAACACGTAAATAAAAGTCTTCACACAAAGTAAATTGTAGATAAGCATTAAATCATACACACTATAAGTCGACACATTATAAATATATAGTGTCATTAAAAAATTGGCAGTTTTTAAGAACAGGACTACGGAATGCCGTTAGGGCCATTGCCTATGAATGTGTTGATCTGAAACGCGATAGTATTATCGCGTTTCAGATTAACACATTCATAGGCGATGGTCCTAACGGCATTCCGGAATGACCTATGAATGGTTTGATCTGAAACGAGATACTCGACAGTACGATGATGAAAACGCGAAATTACGAAACTACGATGGTGAAAACGCGACAGTACGATGGTGAAAACACGATAGTTTGTCGCGTTTTTTTCATCCTAGTATCGTACTGTTGCGTTTTCATCATCGTACTATCGCATTTTCATCATCGTACTTTCGCGTTTTCACCATCGTAGTTTCGTGATTTCGCGTTTTCACCATCGTACTATCGACTATCGCGTTTCAGATCAACACATTCAAAGGCGATGACCCTAACGGCATTCCGTACAGGACTAGCTTTACTCGACTAGATTTCAATATATTTCTTCAATTAAAATATCTTACTCGAAGATTAGCATAAAATATCTTTAAATAAAGAACATGAAGAATGGACCAAGTTTTAAAGAAGCATAATATGTACACGAAACAGTTTAGTTAAATAGTTTAAAAATAACAGAGTTCTTTTTCTTAGCTGACATTTTTAGAAATACTTTGACGTGTACCAAAAAGAAATCGTCATGCCAGTTCTATTCAATAAAATCATCAGTGTACACGTGAAACAGCAAGTAAACAAATAAAAATCTCTGATAACTTCGAAAACACGATGTAATTAATTTTTTTAATTTAATTATTTTAAGTTTATCATTGTGTGTTTTACCATGAGTTATTACAAGTGAAGAATACTTTCAAATATACATGACCTATATGAAGTGACCGTATCAGATTGTACGTATCAAAATTGCTAGACCTACAGCTTATATAATATAATGATAAATTTGTGTATGAGATAATTCTATTTCTAAAATCATCAACAAAAAACAGATCAAATTACCAAATCTTAATAAGTCCATGATAAAGATGATTATATCCAGTGGAGATGAACTTAATTTCAACAATTTACAGTTCACATTTTATATTAATTGTTCTTCCATTTTTTATCAATGTTAAGATGATAATCATACATAACAAAGAAAATGTCCCTTTTAATATGCTTAGAATATACATTTTTACAACTATTCACAACAAGAATCACGTCTATCTCTTTGTATACTTTTTATACGTTTCCAGCTACCTGACATGTGTAATCACTCACTTTACTTTCTAATTCTTGTGTTTCATGAACAAGATCAATTCGAGAACCAGTTGCAAAATTTCCACGAAAGTCAGAGCAGACGCGCCAAGGAATAACCCCATTGTACCCCCTATATCAGATAGGAAACGAACTGGCTGCAATACAAAAGTAATTATATACATAACGCTAAGTCACATCTTATTGTTTTGAATTTGATTAAAGCAACATGTATTTCAAAAGTTAACGTATTTTTCCCCACAAACTATTCATTTAAACTATCTTAAGACATATAGTTTTACTTTTTCATCTTTACGTTTCATACTACTAACGGCCACTTATTCTACCCATGTGACCAGTGCAGATCAAGATCAGACTGTAATGTTCGCTATTTAGTATGCACATTTTTAAAAATCTTCCATAAAAATGATGAATGATTATGTTGGTAGTGTAAGTCCATTTGAAATAATTAGCATGACAAAGGTCACGGGAAAAATGATAAAATTCGCTGTTATAAATTATACTTATACTTCATAAATTGGTTCCTCTTCGATTAATTCAAAATTCAAGTCTTCATAATAAATCAGAACGCGTAAAAAGTTGCGCCTATATCTACAAAAAGAAACAAATGAGTTTTGTTAATTGATATAAATAATTTGCTTCAATACTCCGCGACTTAATCACAGTAAATCATAAATTAATTGATATATGTTTAGTTCTTTGTAGTGCATAGAAAGCACAGCACGAATACTGGCTTTTATGATAATTGAACCAGCATAATTTGGCGCCATTGTTTGTAATGTCTTATTAGTTTGTGTGTACGACCAACGTCCAATTTAATTGAAAAAACTTATTATTAAGCAAATATGAAACATATCGCACTTGAGTATAATTTATTTTAACATTCGCACGAAATTACTTAATTCTATCACATCCTAGGTATATATTCACATTTATTAAAAATAAACACACATATTGTATGCATTTTTAATTCATACTTATCGAGTTCATGTGAAGCTAATTTCTCCATATCGGAACAAGGATCCTCCCAGAAGTCTGAATATGACTCATTGTTACACACCTCTGTTATCAACACTTTCTGCAATATTGTGGATTTCTTCAAGACATTCATAAAGACATGCAAGGTGGTTAAACTTTTTTGATACATTGTTCAAATAAATGATAGGATTGGAAAGACATTGCCTAATAAAGAATAAAGTTTTACCCATGAATATGTAAAGAGATAACAATTTTATACATGCCCTTGAGTCGATGTAAATCGATGATTAAATTAAATAAATAATGAGTATTTATTGTAAAAATGGTTTTAAATATTACTTGGACTCCTTGCTGGTGGTCCCGTGCTTCTGGATGGTGTGGGGTTTATTAAATTGAACGCCGTCCTTCCCAAATGATCTTATGTTTCACATTTTATACCACATTTACATTGTAGGTCTTTAGTTATGTAATTAATCTATGTCGTGAAAGATATAGACATTCATGCAAAGACAGCTTTGAATATACATACCAGATAGTCATCTGATGGCCAAAAGGTGGAGGATGTTGTCTTCGTGTAAACAGTCTCACTGATAAAAAATATTTTGTTTGTTCATAAATTTAACATCTTAGAAATCATAAGCAAATATGTTGCAACTAATTTATTTTATCATTCTGTTATAATGAATGAAATGAAATTTTCTGTTACTTTATACAAATATAATTGACTGATCAACGAAATTCGCTTATAATTATATCAATCGTTCATACCCAAAAAACAATAGTTCTGGGCTTATAGTTACAAGAAGTACTCCATAACACTGCGGATGATCACGTGACCAAAATCGTACAATGTGGTCAAAAATGGCGGCCTAAACGTCCGGTAAAAGCAACGAAATTGAGGTAAGCATACAGGTAACGTTATATTCATATGTAAACCTAGGCCGTACGGAACCCCAGTATAAAATCCACGTAACATACTAGCACATAAATCCTTACTTCAAATAATTTATCACAAAAATCCTTACTTATAAAAATATCATGGAAGCAACTAAAAGTAGCAAACCAAAGAACGCAAAAGCCCGGCATCAATTAAATTCAAATGAACATTATCATGAAATGCACTGATTTTTTCTTTTTTAACTTAAAGAAAACACCCCTTTGACGACAAAGGGACACGAAAGCAGCCCTTGTCACGAAAACTTTTGCATGGAAATTATTTAAAGAAAAATGTTTAAAGGGAAATTTTTTTGTTAAAAGGGGGAAAGTAAAAAATTTACCGCCCAAGGGGCTTGACAGCACAATTTATGTTTCCATTACCCAAACCCTTTGTTGCCCTTTCATTTGGGCTTTCCTTCAACGAAATTTTTTAAAGGGGGAAAAAATACAAAAAGAAAGATAATTTTAAACCCGAAAGAGAAATTTTTCGTCGAAATGCTCATACATGAAAGGGCATTTTGTTTTCTTAAAACGCTTTTTTAAGGGTTTAATCGGTGTTCAGACCTTAGGTTTAAACATTTAAATCAACGAACATGATGAAATTAAAATACATGTACAATAAATAGTAATACTGCTAGGTTATTTTATTGCAAAGTTTTTTTTTCGTTAACACCATTATGGTTCAATAAGCATTGCAACTCAAAACATCCCAAAAACATGAGAGATTTATCCCATGCATTCGTAGTATTCACGTTAATCTTTGATCCTATTAGAAAATCAGACACACTTGAAAATGTCTGACACTATTACATGTGCACTGATATATCTTCGACGCTTAATTAATGCTTTATTTATTTTTTGGAAAAAGAAAGAATAAAGATTATTTTTCAAAAAGGCGAGAAAGAACACAGCTTCCAAATACCACCAAGGACCAGCCGTAATGGCCGTCAGATAACTAACAGAACCCCGAACAAAAATGGAAGAGGGCATGTAAAAAAAAGAAATATATAATGCATGTGATAGTCTTATATAGAGACATATATCAGAATGTATAAATATATAGAACTGTATAAAAGAATAATTTTCAACCTTGCATGGTCTTGACATATGATGACAGGAAATTTTTAAAGCGAAAAAAATTTAAGCCCCGACCTCATTTTCGAAAACATTCCCTGAAACAGTTTTTTTTCTATGATTTTGTTGTCATTTTCCATTTGATTTTTGTTTATTCATTTTTCCTCTGTCACAATACAACATGTTAATTGAATTTGTACATTTATTGTTCTTTATTCGTTTAAGTACAAAAATTACCGACAATTGTACATTGAAAAGGCAATATTTTGATGTGTTCGGCGTATGTTAAAAACCAAAAAACCAAATAAAAATTAAGCGAATAGTCCAAATCAAAGTACTGAAACACATGCAAACCCCGCCCAAACCATTTTCGGGAACCGATTTTAAAAAAAACTTTTTCTCAAACTTTTTTTTCAACTGTTTTGTTTAAGAACTACCTGCTTCCTCTGTTGTGTTGCAGACCGGAAAGGGCGGTTTTGTTCAGAGGAAAACTTCATCGGGGCCTTTTCAGCTGGAGGCAATTACAAGTTCAATAATTTCCAAAATACGACAAAACTCGTAGCATGCCTTAGAAAATATAAAAAAAATACATTATAATTAAATTACAATAAAAAATGAATAATTACATTAGATATTTTAAGTCTACTTAGAATCATATAATTATAGGAATATAATATTATATATCCAGATCAAATCGAAAACTTATAAACAGAATATGCAATAGATTGGTAAGTCCAACGTTTGTCACATTGACATGTAGCATAGTTGCTCAAAGGAACAAACATACCGAAATGCTGTATTTCTTTTGATATGTCCTTGCAAACTCACGGCCATCACTGCAATTACCATGAGGTTCAGGAAGTCTCGAAATTCGAACCTAATAAAAAAGAAGGCAAAGGATACAATGACAATTTAGAAAAAGGATGTTCCCTCTGAAACAATGAAAACAATAATATAATTTGAAAATTAATAAAAAAGGTTTCTGTTCTGCGTATGTATTTTCTATTATAGTAATAATTAATACATGAAAATGTATATCAAAGATATAAATATATTGGCTCCATATATATATACACAGCTAAAATATTGATTAGATACATGCTAAACTAAGAAAACTTGACTTCGAAAACTAAACGACATAATACGGTTTGTGATGCAAGTAAAATGAATTTAGATAATTTTAAGTGTACGTATGACATTCGTCTGATGTTGAAGAAAATCTGATTGCAATCTTTGCATTTAGTATTAAAAATCTCAAGATAATACAGAGAGAATAAGATAACGAATGTCCAAAACGGTAAAAAATACAAATGTTGTCATAAACGGTACTGGAAAATTCACGCCCTCAAGTATACTTCCACATTTTATATGAAATGGTATAATTTTGAAATTGAAAAAAATCCACAATCAGTTCATAATATTTTATCCTAACATAAAATTTTAAAATTTTTAATCGCATTGACATAATATTATTCCCAGGCTAGTGTTTTATTTTATCAAGTTGATACGTGAGAATGACGACATGGCTTGTATATTGAAGGCGATTGTTGTGTTATGACGTTATGTTTTAATACAATAACGGAATGATTACATTTCGCTTTTGGTATTCGGTATACCTGAGATGTTTATCAAATTGCTCGTGTCATATTACTGTGAAATTAGCAATTGAAATATGACTGAGTCAAATTCAACGAGTCCGAGGTTATGCAGATTTGTGAACATCCAAGCAACACTGGTTAGCACATAAAAAAATACCTGAATCGTATTCAATCAGTATCTTCTTCCCTATAGTAATATATGACACTAGTGTTTAGGCAATTGTCTAAGGGTAACTGAATGTCAAAACAAAACTGTTTATTTTCTTATTTCAGTCGACTTCAAAACAGTAGTCATGTCGGGTTTATCACGAATGATCTTGGAAATTATATGCATTCCAGAAAACATTTGTGTAAAAGTAAAATATAGCCATATGCGATAGCCGTATGCGCTTATTCATTTCTTTAAATTTGATTTACTATAAAATATTTTAGTATGTTTACTAACTGTGTTACTCGTGTCGGTTTCTGCTTTGCACAAAATAGGAGTTACTTTTGCAAGGTTCTTGTGTTACTGGACATACAAGGTGATTACTATAAACATAATATAATTTAGTCTTATCGATTAATGAAGTATAGTCGAAACTGAAATTAAAATAACTATTTAGAGTTAATATTTAATTAATATTCTCCTTAAGATAAAGGGAATGAGATGACCTCTTGGATCATATTTATTCATAAACGATACCACTTAAGCGGTTCAACTTGAAGTTCAAAAAGTGTTAGTTTGTAGAAATTGAAATTAGAACATGGAACTTTGCATAAACGGACATATGAAATCAAGTTTTGCTATAGGCTCCATTCAACGGCTCAAATAGTCTAAAAATATCAAGCATTTTACCATTCGTAGACCGATATTAGTTTCCGATCCAGGACTCAATGTAATTCCTTCATGGGAAGGCAAAGGGTATGTTCCGTGCTCGTGAAAAACTATCCGAATTCCATATCCAGTCGAAAGATTATCAATATATTCGTCAATTTCAACATTTAGCGTCAACTTCATTGCTAAAATTTCATTCAAAATTTTATAAAATTTACAAGTCTTAGAAAAAATATATAGACAATCATATAAAAATTGTATTTTAATTAACATTGTTTTTATACTTCTATTTATGTTATTTCTTTCTTTACCTTACTTAAAACAGTAGTGAAGAAAGAAGATTTCTCGATTGCAGTAAAACACAACGAAACACAAATTGGATTTAATTTTATTTGAGTAACACCTACCATTAGATGGTCCACTTCTTAAAGCCACAAATTTACGATTCGCCATTGTATAGCAGTTTCCATACTCAGCTGACGTAAAATTCTTTGTAAAAGTCTTCGATTGTCTTTAAAATAAATGTGACAATATCTATTCATGGGCATAAAAAAATTCTTCTATAGCAATGAATTTTTATAATTGAAGTAGGAAAGTAGAATATTTATACTGAAATTTGTTGTTGCTGTGATGATGACAGAAAACAACAATTTAATGACCAGCATATCACATGTGACACATCCTAGTATTTCATCGGTCGATACGATTTATCATATTTCGTTTTAATTTATATTTTCAATTCAAAGAACCACTAATGAAAAAATAACTTTAAGCTCAAAGTACAAAGGTTTTTGATGACTATTATATGATCAAACAATTTTCATAAACGCTACTTACCGAACTTTTTGCACCCTTCCTGCAAAAGTAACATTCTGGACCATATCTTCAATTTGATGACCCATTTTTCTTCTCAGATGCCTTATAATGAAAATGACGTTTTTTTGTAAACTCTCTACGATATAACACTCCATGCGGAAAACACTAATATGACAATTCTATAAAATGGTGTATATATCTGACCATTGTTAACGCATGTGATTGGTGTAATGGTTATAATTTTCAAAACGGGTGATTTAGAATTATAAGAATTTAATAAATTTATACTGGTTGCTGGTGCGTATATCAGACTCTCTGGCTCGTAGATCAACATTTACAGCAAAAACGATGCTCTGCCAAAATAAACCGCAAACCAGTTAGTAAAGACAGTGATTAGCACAGGATGTTGCATTTATTAATTATCCCTCATGTACAGACTCAATCAAACCGAGTCTGCAATTCTTATGTAATTTTGTTGTGATTAATGCTTCCGAGGGATAACTTTGTTTCCAGATTTTTGTTACAGTTGGTTGCTCATAATCGGTGTTTAAATTTTGAACGACTTCAATAAATATAGAAGCAGCGGGTATTTGCTTGTACCTAAATTCTTATTCTTTCGTGCATACATATTTCACTTCATTACAATGGTACATAGATGATTTACTGACACTTGACACTTTCTATACAGATAAGATACAAGCATACTACTACATGCATATTAAATGACAGCTATGACATTTTTACTTTTGATTTACCCTAATTAGTCATGCTTTACTGAAATGGAAGAGCGGACTGAAGTATTCCTTCATTAAATAAGCATAATTTTATTTTTTTTAACAAAAATAAAATATGTTTTAAGAAATTGCTAGCTTTTTTATTGCTCGGCATTTTAGCAGTACATATCATACAAACAGTATATCACAATAATACTACTCACAAAGGTTTGATTTTGATAGCCTTTTTAAAATTTTCAACACGTGCATCCCATTCGTCTTTGGTTTGGTCTAGTTGTTCTAAGTACAAATCCTCTTCAAAGTTGTAAGATAACCAATCATCCCAGTAGAAATCCTCGTACAGATCATAATCATCATCATTATCATAATCGATTGTACTACTAGTTAATTCATCGGAGTGTCCATTATTTGTCACTGAATCAGAGATTGCTTTAGTAACCGTACTAGAAGCTTCTGTTTCCTCAGTAGTTGTATCTGCTTCTCTTCTATTTCGCAGACCTTCGCCATTTTGTCTTACAATTTGTGTATTCTCGAGTTGTTCATGGTTGTTCGATTTTAAACGTTTATCTCTGTTTAAGTAAGAAAACGTGGACTTTTGAAAGGTAACTTTTTGTTTATTTTCACGACGAAAATCAGTGATGTTATTGCCTTTTCCTTCCGCATGTTTGTTTTCCTTGATTGTTTCATCGTTTAGGTTCCTTGTCAGGGCTTTGAACATCGCTTTTCCTTCAGCATCCAGCAGATGTTTATTTTCTGATTTAGTACCTTCCGTACCCCGCTTTCTCCTTGCGTAAACCTGTAAATTAAATTTGAAAAACAACAAATAACACCAATTAAAGCATTTTTTTATTATTTAAAAGAATGATTTAATATAATGAATTAAGCACATGAAAGGTAAAAATCATGTTAGCGTGAGTTATTAAGCTTCATTATAAATGTTCAATTAAATTGATTGGAGATGAAATTTGAGCATACTAAGTTTAACAGTAAATAGAAACGAATTATAACTGAAAGAAATAAAAAAGAACACAAAGCATGTAAAAAGCAAATTTGGAATTAACTAACTAATTAATTAACCGTCCGACCAATTTACGAAATATGCAGTTATGAAGCAGAAAAGAACATTCTGCAGAAACGTAATATTCTATTATCAAATGAAATTATGGGTGATCAAAGATGACTATTAAACCAAAATGTGTGACACAAAGTTAAATTAAATTTGGAAAGGATGTAAGAAGGATTGGCACACGAATATAAATAGAATGGGAAAAGGAGAGTAATGTAACGAAATACATAATTGAGTCGCCCCATGACAAAACCAATATAATGCGTTTGCGACCAGCTTGGATCCAGACCAGCCTGCACATGATCAGGATCCATGCTGTTTGCTTAAAAATCCTATAACAAGTAGAGAAACTGATAGCGAACAGCATAGATCCTTATCAGACTGCGCGGATACGCAGGCTTGTCTGGATCTATGCTGGTCGCAAACGCATTATGTTGGTTTTGTCATGGTGCGGCTCAATTATTTTGCTACAGTACCTGATCCTCTGACAGGAGATCCCGCAAGTCTTCTGATCTGTGTAGCTGGGATTTCCGTACCGGGTTCAAGTTACACAAAGTAATGGCAGGGAAAGCAATAGGACTAAAGTCTAGCGACACAGATGTTTGTGATGGATACGAATAATATGTTCTTTAAATAAAAAGAAATCAAACAAAAAATTAAAATCTGAAAAATAATGATTTTATAAGACAAATACATAGTACACTTTCATTTAAAATACATTACGCTTTTATTTTTGCTACAACATAATGACCAAGTAATATCGAAATTACATTCGACTCGTGTACATTATTTAAAAATTGTTGGCTTTATCGGCATATGATATTGCTGATACTCTTTCATGAATTTAATTTGAGAAAGGTTTTACAAATATTATACAACAAATCAATTTAACTTCTCTAAAAGAAGAATATAAAATATACATAAATTGTTTGAGGAAAATGTAGTTTAAATAATTTTAAACATAACAAAATTGTTTTCTATGTATGTAAAATAGATATACGGATTCAGATTGAATGAATATATGGTAAAACGGTACAAATTAAAACTAACTTAAATAGCAAGTACAGTTGAAAAGAGACTACAGCAAATGCTGCTAGAACCAATATAGACCACAATACTTTCACAACAATCTGTCGAGATGACACAATCTTTGGTATTCCATGCAAAGAACTTGACTCAGCCAATTCCTGAAACAAACAAATACAGGACTAGAAATATGATTTGATTTTGAAGCCGAATGTTTGATATAAAGAGAGAAGGAAATTCTTGGCAAGTACTTATATCTTACTGGCATTCAACCATCCAACTTGCGAAAAGTTCATTCACTACTATACCTCGGTGGTTATTATTCCCTCTGTTCTGAATATCACTTATCCTAAAGTCATACTCGTAGATATGATTGGTGATGATAGAAAAACAAATTGTCCATTCGGCATAATAATTTAACCCAATAATTTAACCCAAAATTTCAGTTTTCACAAAAGATCTATTTTCAATTTAATTCCTTTAAAAAATTAATTTGAAAAAATGCATCATTTTGCTGCATTTGTAGTATAGTACCATAAATGTCATAATATATTTCACTACTGCACAATTACGAGATCTTAAAGGGCAAAATAAAAAAATAAAAATAAAAACAAGAAATAAAAAAAACTAGAACTGTGTCCAAAGGACACGGATGCCCCCACTGACAACATATATATGGTATATAGTGAAAAAATCAACAAAAGGCCATAATTCTGTTAAATTTGGTCGCAGCAAAAATTCCTTCCTTTACAACCATCTACACATTAATGTTGTTCATCCCTGGAAGTTTAAGCAAAATCTGCCATCCGGTTTAAGAGGAGTTGCGTTTACAAAATTTCTATATGGAATATAGTGAAAAAATCAACAAAGGGCCATAATTCTGTTAAATTTGGTCGCAGCAAAAATTCCTTCCTTTACTACCATCTACACATTAAGGTTGTTCATCCCTGGAAGTTTAAGCAAAATCTGCCATCCGGTTTAAGAGGAGTTGCGTTCACAAGATTTGGGACGTACGGACAGACGGACGGACGGAGGGACGGACGGAAGTTCTCACAGGACAGTAATTATGTGGCTACTCTATTGTTCTCTCTATTGTTCTTTTTAGCCACACAAAAGAAAATAGCCACATAAAAGCATTACGGAATGAATGACATCAAAGAGAAAGAACAGTTACCTATTGTCCCTCTAGCCACATAATTACTCTCCTGTGAGTGCGAACGGACGCACAGACGGACGGACGGACAAGTGCAACGCTATATGCTCCCACTCTGTGGGGGCATAAAAAAAAACAACATACATTTATTATTTATTTGGAGTTAACTAGGATATCAACATTAATATGATTTAGTAGCATGTACAAGAAAATTGCAAAACTTTAATATTATTGTGTTTAGTCCCTAATTAATATACGTTTTCTTTTCAATGACTTTCTTCGATCGATTTAGCGGCCGACGTATATGAATAATGTCCATATTGGTGGCAAGGGGTATCATAATAATGTACAGAGATCTTGCAAATATATATCTGTAACAATGGATAAGTAAAACAAAATAAGGGCAGTGAAAATGAAGAAAAAAGGCACCTTCATTTCAATAATTATCTTTTTTAATTATTATTATTATTATTATTTATCAAACTTATACAGCGGCCTTTTCATATACACGTTTAAAGGCGCTTTACAGTGATATAGGCTAATTGCTTAATTACAATTAACAATATTATTAAAAATAGTTAGACATATTTGAAACAATAAATGTACAACATATCCAAATGGAGAACAAAATTAAAAAATGTAGTATTTAAGTTGTCGTTTGAAGTAAAAACATTACATATCACAGTCACGATAAAAAACAAAACAATTACCTAACGAAATATTGAAATACACAAATAAAAAAAATATTGTCACAGGATATATACTGTACTTAAATATCACAGTAAAATTATATATATAAATATGAATTTATTTGGATAATTCAGGTCTTTGGCTCATCCAGGTCTTTCTCAAATGGACTCCACTAAGATCTTTGACATGACGGAATTGGTCTAGACTAATGCAGATTTTCAGATCATTTGCTCATTCTGTTTCTCAAGAATAACAATTCTTATTTTAAAAAATGACCCAAAATATGAGAAGCGTTGAACGCAAATCATGCTAAGAATAGCACGAACTACCCTTTTCTGATTATTTCTGAGTATATATCTTTAATAATTTCTGTTTTAAATGCCCCAGAAGATCTACGTAAGAATTAAAAAAAATATGTTTTGAGATGCAATAATTATGATTTTAAAAACAAATAATTGAGTACAAGACTTTTCGGTCTTAACCTGTTTACAAATTAATTGTTACATGTCCCTAAATTCTTTTTAATTATTCAATTCATTTGAGTCACGTATGTACACATAATATTTCATCATACAAATAGTAAAGTATAAACTACGAACGTGGTCATTCTTTAAGAAAAGAATGAAAAAGACTTTTTTCGTAAATGCAATATATGTTAAGCTATACTTATCATAAACATATAAGAAAATCTTTTTAAATGATAAAAACAATGTCATTCAATCATAACCTATCAATTCATTTCATTTAATTAAAATTTGTTTTATAGGATATTGTAAAGTTAAATATACGCTAGTAATTATTTAGAGGTTGATACTTAGTTGCTGCTCGCCATTATGCGATAATAACATAACATATCATAACGTAACATAATATTTATTCAGCATTAAATGTTACAACATTTATAGTCATTTCAATCTTTAATACATTCATATAAGGGCAAGTACATGGTTGACAGAAAATTATACAAATGATTTATACAAATTAATCTTAAAAAAAGTTTTTTTTAACAGAGTGATAATAGCCAGAAGATGTCCATTATTGCATGAGGGTATAATGGGTAGCACCTATGCCTGGTCTGCATAAAAAACTAATCTTGTTTGTCTAAGAAACGGTGTTGTCATCGTAAACAACTAGACCATCTGTCATTCAGTTTACTTACTACCAGAAAACTCGATATTTTTTAAAAACATGATAACAAAATATAGAAACGAGACAGTGTTATTTAGTTGCTGTGTATGTTCTTTATGTTAAATGTCAGTTCTTCATGTGAAATTGAGTGCTTGAACGGATCATTTGTTGCCAAGTTGAAAATAAACTAAGCTCTTGACACCCCCGGCCTGCGGCCCACATGTCAAACTGGATGTCTTTAAGTCATTATCGCATAATGGGGAGCAATAACCGAGTACTAATGTCTATAGTCATCAAAGAAATTGACCGAGAATAGATAAATAGAATCACCTTATCATATCTGAGTTTATTTTTAAGCCTAATTTTCAAAAAGAAAATTGAGATTAGTTTCATTAAGAGTGAAATAAAGCTTGTTTCCAAAAATTTGACTTAGTTTCTGAGATATTTGCTTCTTAACATTAATTGACCTACAAATGATAAACTTATTTATAAATAGCTGAAAATAGATTTTTGTAAATGCTAGAAATATTTTCTGCCTACAGTGCAAGAATCGTTATGAATTAATTCATCTGAAGCGCGGAAATTGCTGTTTGTGTTCAAAGTTCTGGTTAGTAGTATAAGGACTAACATGAGAGTGGCATCGCACAGGGCGAATACATGTGAATTATCATTTGTATGTGCACCTTATTATAGATACAGTTATTGATGAGACCCATGTTGAAGTTACTTCTTATAAAATCAAAGTAAAAAAATGCACAAATTCTCTTTTTTGTAACTTTAATAATGGTTGCAATCAAATGAATTATTTCCATTTTTTTTGTTTATTCCTCGAACATTAATTATAAACATGTCACTTAAGAGAGTCTCAACATACGAATCTAAAGAAATTGTAACCATATAACATAGTATTTAAGTAGTTTGAACAGCACATCTTCGTAAGAAATATATTATGTCCAAATATAAACTACCCTAATCCAGTTAACATTTTTTTCATAACAATTTCCTTCTTATTCTAAGTATTTTATAACAGATATTTGCTTTAAGTTCTGATCAATTCGTGGTGGGTGGAAAAAAATCGTGGTCATTGAGATTAAGGAAATAAATTCAGTACGCAAAATCGGTTTCTTTACTGGACAGTATAAATATATACTAGTACATTACTTTCGATTCATTAGTCTTACAATGTGTTGAGTTTAGGCAGGTACTCATAACGCCAAGGTTAATATGTAGTGATGCCAAATTAACTTGGCTATTGCAGATCTAGATCCATGAATCTATAAGTAAAGGACATAAAAATTTTACTATATTGTTTACGCAAATATCGGACTTCGATAATTTGTAGGTTGGTAACTTATTCAAAGTAACACCACGGGTCAAAACACCTCACCATCTGGAGCTAAGAGATGCATAGACTACAGTTATTTGCACCCATTTAGTCGCCTCTTACGATCACACACTGTTGAACGGTGGCTGCAATTCTTTTGTTCAAGTTTTAAAGGCAGCCACTCATGCACAAGATGCAATAAGTTTAGGTAAATTTCATTTAAAACATTGAAGTCTTTTATGATTATTACCATTAATACTAAGTTATTCATTTCATTTTTAGCTTTGGAATAATATAAATCTATGAGTCATTTTCCATGTACTGAATTTACGTCTGTTATCTTTTATTTTTGGATACATTAATTCATGAACGTTTCCTACCTTAAGAGTTTCTTTGAGAGTAGGTTTTCTTTCATCTTTTAAATATGACAAGTCATCTTTTTTCTCCTCAAGTACTTCTTCCTTTCTGATATCCATTTAAAGCATTTAAGCCTATAATTTATTAGTTTGGACTACTCTATCCTGCTTGATTAAAAAAAACTTCTTCTGTTCAATATTGTATTCAAATCCGACTGTGCAGTATATGAAGCTGCCACTCACAAACAAGAATGCTTCACTGTTTAAATAAAACCAGGTAGGACAAAAATTTATATAATATTGATGATTATAACGCAATTTCGTGCATGATACCCTATATTTAGGTATAAATAATGGCCATAACTCTGTTTAGTGGAAATTGCAAAACATAATTTCTGATGAATGTGGATTGTTTGATATCTTATACAATTATTTACGTTATTGCAGTTATGCATTTGATTATGACAGCTGTGCTTTGATATAAATTGATATCTCATATTACAGGTATCATAGTCCGATTTTCAGATCTATGGTATAACAGATGTTTGCCATTCCTATATCAATGATTTCATAATACTGTGTTACATTGAACAATCTGCTTCTTTACTGTAAAATTATCAACAGAAAAAGATCATATTTATCTGCTGCATTGTAATATTTTGAATACTTGATATGCATACTTGACGTCCTACTTAGCTTACCAAATGTATATTATAAATAAAAAGATAACAATAAAAAGAACTCAAATTAAAAAAATGATTATTCGGATACAAACATAACGACTTCATTATTAATGTATTTTAAAAATTTGCACTATACTAATATTAAAATAAACTTTAGAAAAAAAGAATAATAAAATCACATAATAAATATTGATAACATAGCTCATTTTCCTTGATCTGGTGATTTATCGCAGTTTCGTTTTGGTACTTAAAACTTCGATTTGGTATTAAGAACCACGTAGCCTTTTTCAATTTGTTAAATATGTTGCGTCCTCAGTTTAGCAATAAATTCCTTATATTATTGTGTCCTCGATTTGGTATCAATATCTTTTGTTATTTTATCTTTGTTATGTTATTATGTCATCGATTTAGAAGTAATGACATTGTGTCCTAGATTACGAAATAAATTTGTTTTGTTATTGTGTCCTCGATTTGGTTATAAATTTCTCATATTATGTGTCATTGATTTGATAATAAATTTGTTTTGTTATTGTGTACTCGGTTCGGTTATAAATTTCTTATATTATTGTGTCTTAGATTCGGTACGAATTACTTACGTTATTGTATCCTCGATTTGGTTATAAATTTCTCATATTATTATGTCCTCGATTTGATTATAAATTGCATGCTATTATGTCTTCGATTTGGTTATAAATTTCTTAGGTTATTATGTCTTCGATTTGGTTATGAATTTCTTATCTTATTATGTCTTCGATTTAGTTATAAATTTCTTATGTTATTAAGTCTCCGGTTTGGTTACAGATTTCTTATGTTATTATGTCTCCGGTTTGGTTATAAATTTCTTATGTTATTATGTCTCCGATTTGGTTTTAAATTTCTTATCTTATTATGTCTCCGATTTGGTTTTTAATTTCTTAGGTTATTATGTCTCCGATTTGGTTATAAATTTCTTATATTATTATGTCCTCGTTTTTTAAGTTATGTAGCTTTGTCTATTTGTGTCCTTTGATCGGTAAAAAAAATTTGGTATCTAGTGATCCTATCATCCTTGTTTTATGTTTAATATTTACTCTTATATCAGTGTGTAACAGGTTGCCTTGGGACAAAAAGATATTATAACAACATATCACACACACACATACGCAAGCTGCAAACTATATAATCAGTTATGATACATTTTCAGCTATCTTCTTCCTTGAAACGAAAATAAAAGAAATCGTATATGTTACAATGAATAATATTTTTTTACCTCAATGAGAATGGTTTGGTGTATGTGTTGTTTATGTAAATTGAGTCGGAAGATTCGAACTATTTATGTGTTTACGCGTTACACGGAACTTTTGCGCTGAGATAAGTGAGACATAGACTTGGAACATTGCAGTTTGACAGATCTCATTAAAAAATTCATTTTCTAAAAAAAAGAAAGAAAAAAATTTCTTAAGTTATTGTCCTTTGTATTTTTTCAAATTATTTATTTTTTGTTTTCTTATTATAATTGTCCTTGTAAAAAGATCTATATGTTATGATATATCGACAGCTATGTCTATGTATGTTTTAGGCTTTAGGATCTTTAAAGTAATTCAAAAATGTAAAATTTTTAATTCCTTATGTAAACCTCACAGTTGGCAGTTAACAAAAATTAGACATTCATAGTATGCCTAACCCAGTGATTAACCGGATGAATTGTATTTGGTATTTCGAACATAAATTGGCATGCCTCCTTTTCGTCAGAGTCAAAAAAATGTAATTCGTAGCAGACATATATTTAATGAATGACTTAATGCCGTTGCATTATGTTGTTAGAATATATATATTTATATGTGTGTGTGTCATAAATGCCATAACATCTCCTCAAAAAGATGTCAATTTGCTTGACACCGCTCTTTTTTTATTTATGGTTTTACACAATAATACTCTGAGGCATAATGCTAAGGAGATTCACTCTTATAACGGTAAATATAAATTCAAACAATTTTATATTTAAGCCATTATGTTTAGATACATCACTGTCCAGGGATGTTTTCGTCTGTTATGCTATAGTTGATTATAAATAATTCAACCTTATTGTTACCAAGGACAATGATCTCCTTCTGGAAACTTGTTGTGTAACGGTTGGTTTTTTATAATACTAGTACCTTGTAAACAGACCCAGCCAAACCGAGTCTGCAATTTCATGCACTTTTCTGAGCGCATTCTTATCCAGATTAGGATAATTAATCAACTCTAATTAAACCTTTTTGTTTAACTATGTCAACTGTCTCTTGTTAGAAGCCTTTTGTGTAATGACTGATAACTGATTTTTAATGAAACATTTTGTTTCCAATGCCAATGTTTAAAAAATAAATCTACAATAGAAAATTTCAATAGAACACTTACATTATTTGCGCATACATTTTTCTTCTCATAACAAGGGAACAATACAATTATTATCACTTATCAATTATAAAATATAATCCATAGAAACTGTATTACTATTGTAACCGACAAGGTAAAAGGTGTAGCCCTTCCGTATTTTCCAGGTAAATGATACTGATCAGGATCCATGCTGTTCGCTTACAAGTCTATAAAAAGTAGAGAAACTGATAGCGAACAGCATACTGGTCTGTATCCATGCTGGTCGCAAACACATGTTGTTGGGTTTTCATGACGCGGCTCATTTACGTCTTTGTAAGTACGGCATGTACAAAGAAATGAAATATTTGAAATTGTTAATTACAATGCAAAACATACAAAACAGAACTATATTATTTAAAAATGATAATAAGCCAATGAATTGCATTTTACAGCATATCAGTACAAAAAGGGTTTTGTTGCTGGTAAAGAATATAATATCATTTATTAAAAACATCAAAAGAAAAGAACTTAAAATATGTGATCAAAATCGGGGAATATAATAATGTTTCTTTCATTATACTTATTTCAGATAAATCCATTAAAGCACTATATTCCATTGGTTTGTATGTTTGTTTAAAAATAAAATAAATCATTATATTAATGAGCTAAATTTCACTTGGAACAGAAACTGATGTTAGACAAAATGATAACTAACGATATTGCCAATCTCATTAAATCAGATCATCGTTTTCGCTCCGTTACTCTTCGCTACGTAGGAGCGTAGGGTAGTGAAGCGACAATTAGGATATGATTTTAATGAGATTGCGATATTGCTGGCTTCGTAAATAAGGAAGATTTTATAAAGAAAAGGCTAAATTATATACTGAATCAGAATTTGACATTTTTTTACTACGATAATGTCGAATTAAAATATAGTGTTCAGGCTGCTTTCTTCACATTGGATCCTAACACAATGACTTCTCAAACGAAATGATCAACATAATTACATTGCTAAGGAGTCCAATGAAATGAATCAACAAAAATAATAAAAGTCTGAGCGATGTTACGCCACATAATAGCGCTGCTACATCAACGTGGTCGAGTTCGTTTATGCTATGATTTACAACTCATAAACAGAAACCGTTTATGTGGCAGACTGACCGGTTCTGCCGAATAAATATTAAAGTGTCGAAAATGGAAAATATGTTGTGGCCTTCTCATTATGATCAACACCATCTTCACAACAACAGTCAAAAACATAACCACTTCACTCAAATCACCACTATCATCACTATCATCATCACTATCATCATCACTATCATCATCACTATAATCATCACTATCATCACTATCATCACTATCATGGTTGCACTATTTATGTGTTGAAAATCATCGCATTCATGAAAGCGACCAAGTCTAAGCGGCGGCGCTGCTTTGTGGGGATACAAAGCAAAACAACCAATCAAAATAACACACTCATGCAACACTTCCATTTAAACAATAACCTTTATCTTTCGTGAACTTAACATTTTATCATGAAGGAGTTCATACATTAAGAAAGCAATAAAATAAATGTACATCTATGAACTAAGCTTGTTTCTTTATCTTAGTTAACGATGTCTTCATGAGATTGGTCAGTCAATTGGTTTTTTGAAGTCGATCACTCGAGTGTGTCTCTCGTTCTTATGTTTCAAAAAGAGGAACACCTCAAGAATTAACTGAACAAATTCAACAAAACTCAAAACAGACGCCCCTAGGAACAGTCCCATTGCACCACCTATGTCAGATAGAAAACGAACATTCTGAAAGAAAGCACATACATTTGTATTTAATTATACATCATAACCATACAATCAACACAACCCAATGACCCAACACATGAAGAAAAAGACATGTTTTTGTTACCTTAATAGTTTGAAAAATTATTGCAATTAGCATGATTTTGCGTGTAACACACCATATATCTTCAGAGGCAATTTCCAGATTTCTTTTATTAAAATATTATTAACTTTTACAAAAGAACAAAATTTAATAGTCAAGCATACAATTTCAGTTGCCATAATTTCCATATCAACTTCCATTCTAACTGAATTTATATGTGTTGGTATCTAAACATTGACCTTTAGTGTTTTTAATTTGACTAC